CTGGGCAGTACAAATATTAACTGACTTGCATTTCTAACAAGTTATCTAGAACAGATAATACAGTAGCTACGCCAGTCATAGCTAACAAAACACATAATCCAGCATAAAGTTAGATCTTACTGGCTCTAACATCTAATATGGCATATTGGAGAAAAATATTAAAATATTTAAAAGTATACAAAGATACCACCAAATTTTACTCCCTTTCACAGTTTTTGCATTAAAAAACCCACTCTGCAGCATCACTTCATGCACTTAGATACCACCTACCATGATAAACCTGACAGCCTAAGTTGCTCCATTGTGCATTTAAGACACAAATCACTTGTGCCAGGAAGACACAACACCACTCAAATTATCTTTAAAGAAAACTTTTCAGTTGTATTTTTGTATTGAAGAACAGCAATTTTCTGTCCCTCTTAAGCTACATTTTTCACACCATTTCACATTCTTCTCTAATCTTCATTCCAAAGTGTTCACATCAGTTGAGCCTCACTCCCGAAGGGGTGCACCATCTCTCACAAACAAGACTAAATTTAAATTTGGGGGGGGGGGGCCCCAAATATCCTTCAGAATTAAATACAGCCTTTTTTGAAAGTTTGAATATCATAAGACTTTTATATTAGACTGTCACCTCATGGAATTTACCTTCTGCTAATTTTGTCTCAAAATTACAGAAATACTACTGTAGGAAAAGAAAATTTAGAATATAACTATACAGCTTGGCATAGTGTTTCTTTTAATAATGATGTCACAAAAATATCAAAATAAGCCATCATCAGCTTGACTGAAGCACCTTTTTCTAAAATCAAGGATATAGTATGAAGGAATGGATCTGGTGAAGGATAACTAGGCTGGTAGCACCAAGGCATAGTTTTGATAACCTTCTTCTTCCACCTAGTGGCAAGAAGCTTAAAAAACAAGGTCTTTGGAAGTACAGTCACAAGGTGTTTTCAAACACCAACTCTGTAAGAGTCGCTGACACTGTAAGGACTGAGAATAGAATAGAATTGTGTTTCTGTAGAATTTTGGTGTTCACGTTTAATTTCACAAGCAATAAACATACTAGCGTAAGGAGCTTAAAAAAGAAGCACGAGATAAAATTGTTTCAACAATTCTAAGTTCTCTACATAAGCATACTTTCCTTTCATGAAGCTCAGGTTTGGGGGTTTTTTATTTGATTACACACACACACACACACTCCGGTTATTCAGCCTGATCATCTTGTAGGTAAAAGGTTGCAACTATCCAAAGCTGCATTCTGCCTCAACTAAGAAGAATGGCAGGGAGGGAGAGATGGGGGAAAATTACATCAAAGCTTCTCAGTATTTCATTAAATTTAGTAAATCAAATACAACAATAGTGTGAACTAAGGTAATTCTATTGCCCTGTGGACAGGGGGATGGTTGTAGCAGAACATAAAAATTAATTAAAAGTTTCTGCAAACCACTTTTGAGCACTATGTAACAGCAATAAATTAATTATCTCAACAGGAATTTTAAGTAACAGCAGTATTTTCAAGCTTGTACTCTGCTTCTCCTTAGTCACAACAGAACAGAAATAGAAAATGTATTAAACCAAAAGTGTATTTTCAGAGGAAATGACAAGTTGACATTATGTTCTTGTTTTAAACTAACTCTGGCATTAAACCTGGGGAAACTCCATCCATAATCCTTTATGTGGAATCTTCGCCTGAAAAAGGACAAGAACAGGGGAATTATTTCCTCAAGTTTCACAAAAATTAAAAATAAAAAAAAAAAAATTGCATCCGTACACTGTCTCATAAGTTTCTTACATGAAGACATAGGTCTATGAAATCTAAGCTGTGACAGTACCTTGTATGCCTCCAGCTGTTCACATTCACAGATTTTGCAAGAAACCAGTAGCTTTTGAAGCTGTGGCTGAAATTGGCTAATGGACATAAAAATTGAGGCAGTGGGAGAAAGGTGATGACAAGATTGCCACAAAGGCAGGAAGGTAGTGGTAAGCCAACACCCTCACTTCCTTAGGAATTCTGGTTAAATACAGTAAAATAATTAAAAATTGACACAACATTGATTTTTCGCATCAGAAAATGTCATACTTAACATTATCTACAGTCTGGAGAAAAAACACTGTGCACTCCCAGTACGTACTCTCCCATTTCCTAAGTAATAAAATTCCTCCTGCATCTTAGACTTAATACATCACATGATACAACCAGTGTAAGACCAAATATTATCCACAGGAAATATTTTATTATTTTTTTAAGAGAGCAATGGATAAGAAGTGCCTACAGAGTTTAAATGTTTCAATCCATTACAAAATGAAATGGATTTGTGGATAGAGTGTCTGCTTTCTATCATGCAGCCCTGCATTTTATCAAATTTGTATCCCACATAAAGGGTATCTAGTGGGACAATTTAGCAAATTTATCTGTATTATTCTTGATACATGTTAACGTACGAAACCACCACAATACTGAATGCCTACATATATACACATGTATATACACACATACATTAGCTAGACTGGATTTAATGACATTCCTTCTATACCGAGATTAATAATTAACGAATACATACTTAGATGGAACTCATGCAGAACAGTCTGTTCTGTCTTTTCCTCTTGTCAAAAAGAAGAAATTCAGGAAAAGCAGACTACAACTAGACTCCACAGTGTAAAACAAAGCCCAGTTTAAAGCAGATCAGTGCAAGAAAACCACCAACTAGCTATTCATCTCAATGAATACTGATACCCATCCATGCAAAGTCCTGGGAGCTTTAAGTTATGCTGGCAAGCATTGTGTTATTCATTGATAAGCCATGAATTCACTACTATGTGCTGGAACACCGCACTTCCATCTAACATGTGCCACATGTAGAGACTGTCTCCTGAAGTAACTTTCTATCAAGGGATTCATTTAACTTAAAACTTCAGAAACAAGTCATGGTACAAATTCCAGCTCTGCACTCCATGAACACATATGGAAACCAGATGAAAGCCAGCACTTACAGTTCAGATTGTTAAGGCTTAGAACCATACAAGTGACTCCAACAAGTGGAGTACCATGTGCCTTGAATAAAGTCTATATGATAATTCCCATTTTCAGAAGCATCCAACATTAAATTTTGTACTACAGAGACAATTATTTTGCTTTAAAATACGTATTTAGGAAAAGTAATCTACTTCCCTCAAAGTTCATAATTTGCAGCCAAAGTCAAATCTGAAGTAGTTTGAAGTGGGAATGAATATGAGATCAAGGTTCTGAATAAATAATTTGATTTACTGTCCTTTATGTACAAAATATTATTCATCATGTGAAAAACACCTTTGTGAAAAAAAAAGGAGTAAATTCATTTTGACCCTTTGCATACACTTTTTTAAAAAAACTATTGAAAACAAAGACTAAAAGTTTGACAAGTTTTTTCATGGGTTTTTTTGCTTTGTTTTTTTTTCCTTTTAACCAAAATTTCAAAAGCAGCTTTGAGATGTTGGTGTCTAGAAGGTGGTTTTAATCAATATTTTTGGATAATTCAGTATTTCAGACTGATGGCAGCCTTTAGAAGATTGTATGTGGATGGAAGTTAGAAAAGAACCCAAATAACTGAATGTACAGTACTTATAATTCTCAATAGATGGCACTTTATATCAAGAAATCTACAGTGTCTAATTAAGAGACAGCAAAAACAATTGGATGTATGAGTGCACTGACATGTCAAAGTCTGCATCCGAAAAAGCCCAATATCCTTAAATTTGAAGGTATACCTCTATAAAACTGAAAGTACAAATAAGGACTCTAAAGCCAAACAAAAACTCTGAAGGAACATTCTCTCTCAGATATTAATCACACAGAGATGTTTTTCACGAAGGCAAGTATATTCCCATCTTCTCAGAAAAAATTTACAGGTAAAGTTAAATTTAGAGATGACACAGGAACATGACTATAGCAATTACTGTATACAAGCTCATAATAGGACAGAGAATCCTTTTAGTAATATTACTTGGAGAGTGCAGTCTTGTGCAGAATTTCACAGGTGTTTTGATATCTAAAGCTACACAGATTTTTAGAGCCTCTTATGAGTCAACGTAAAAATCTTCTTTGACATACAGAAAGGACCAACAGCAATGGGCAGACGTTGCAGCATGGGAAATGGTTATTAGGCAAGTTTTCATAACAGAGTAAGTCCTGAAACAGGCTACACAGATCATGTGAAGCTCCATTTTTTTGGAGTTATTCAAAACTCAACAAGGCCCCGAGTGATCTCATCTAGCTTCAACAATAGCCCTGCTTTGAGTGGGATGTCAGACTACAAGAACATCAGACCCTTCTAGAAAGATGTAGGATTTTAAACTGTTCAGAAGAAATTGCAACACAAAAGGATGCGACCCAACACCACATCCTCAGGGTGTAATTTCCAAAAAATACTCCCTCAGTTGTAACTGAGCTGTATTCTCCCAGAGTCACAAAACAAATGTTATCAAAAAACTAGAGAATGACCTTTTAGCCCCTGATCATAGAATCATAGAATAGTTAGGGTTGGAAAGGACCTCAAGATCATCAAGTTCCAACCCCCTTGCCATAGGCAGGGACACCTCGCTCTAAACCATATCGCCCAAGGCCTCGTCCAACCTGGCCTTGAACACTGCCAGGGATGGAGCATTCACAACCTCCTTGGGCAACCTATTCCAGTGCCTCGCCACCCTAACAGGAAAGAATTTCCTCCTTATATCCAATCTAAACTTCCCCTGTTTAAGTTTTAACCCATTACCCCTTGTCCTATCACTACAGTCCCTAATGAAGAGTCCATCCCCAGCATCCCTATATGCCCCTTTCAGATACTGGAAGGCTGCTATGAGGTCTCCACGCAGCCTTCTCTTCTCCAGGCTGAACAGCCCCAACTTTCTCAGCCTGATGACATTTCAACAAGATGTAGGAAGCCCTCTTTCTAGTAGGGGACTGAGGACCATGTCTTGGTCTGAATCCTCATTCTGAAATAAACCAAAGAAGTTAGATTTTTCAGAAGTAAGATCTAGCTAGTGGGCAAGCTTCCCAGTTCCTTACTTAATTTATATAGGATCAAGTTAGCAGCCACAGTCAAGGATCATGTACTATGCTAGACAAAAAAATGACATATCACTTGTAAATTGTGACAACTTACAATTAGATGTTGCCATCTAACAGTATTCACGACTGTTAAAAATATTCATGCCTGCACATAGAAAATGTAAGTATTTAAAATTAGAGTATTTCTAACATCAGTTAGTATGCATACAAAATTCTCCTATGTCTGAGCTGAATCCTTAAGGTGACGTGACAAGGTCTTGGAACATATGAGCTTTTGTAGGTACATCGAGAGGTTATACTAAACATTATTTGTCCCAGAAATTTTTCCTGGAATACATAAAATCTTTTGTAGATCTACTGTCCATACCTAAATATCACTAGAAATTCCACATTGAATTTGAAGGAGAGAAGTCTGATAGTAAACTAACACAGATTAAGTTCCCCTTCAATACCATGCAAGGAAAAACTTGCATAGGAAGGTTTAAGAGAGGGTAGTGCAATACCTCCACAGCACTTTACAATGCAAGTACTGGGCCACAAATGCCATGATAGCAATATTCTTTTCTGTTCCCAGAAGAGGTATTCTTTCTCCCAATTGCAATAAAAAAAAAAAAAAAAAATTTAGGCACGTAAGATTCATTCAACAGAATGACAAACAAGAAAATGCAGCAGAAATGGACTAACTCGAAGAAACTGAAGGACTCCAAGCCAGATATTGGCCTTCTCAGGCTAGAGCTCTCACAAAACCACAGCTGTAATTTTAGCACTTCATTTTAGCACTTCTCCCCTTCATTGGTAGGAGCAGATTCACCACGTATGAAAAACTCCATACCTAGATGAACTGAAGCACAGCTATTGCATAGTATGTACATTCAGATACTTTGCAGTTGATTTTAAGACTGATCAATGATTTTGATGTCAAGAAATGCCTTGGGAATCTGATATTTACAGACTCTGCCCAGAATGAAGCTGCTTCCATACAGCTTCATCCAACCTTAATGCTATGAAAATTTATGCCTTGATCCATTTAATTATTGAGAGATTTCCAAATATCTGATTCAGGCTGCTTCCAATCTTTTCCCATTAGTCCTTTCAAGTTCAAATCTTCAAAAAATTCCAGGCGATGACTGCAAAGAAAAGCAAAATAAAAAAGTTGTAATTCTTGTAGTATGTGTCTTAATAAGATACAATACCCTCAATAGGTTTAACTCATCCCTATTTTCAGGTTTTCCTGAACAGAAACATAACCAGCATTATATATGTTGATTTTCCCAAACTTAAGTTTATAAATAAAACACACTACCATGTTTCTGAAAATCTTGTACTGGAAAAACACAGGGCAAAATTCTCAGCTACAAATAAGCAATACACCGCTTATTGTGAAGTGAAGTTAAAGCGCTCACCTTTTTAACTCCCTCAGCTCATGTTGCCTAGAACTGCAGTCAGAGCAAGTGCAGAATGATATCTGCTTTATGACTTACCTGCACTCCAACAGAATAAAAATCTGCAGCTCCTAACTATTTGAAAAGTTGTATCACAGGCATATTCTTCCCTTACAGAAAAAGGGGAAGACTGGATAATGAAGCTAGAGAACATTTTTTCCTCTAAAAGTTTTATTTTCTTTTAAGCATTATGAATCAGTTCTTGCTAAGAATTTCTCCCTTTAAGCTACCACACAGAAACAATAGAATGAAGACACTGAAGCCAATTGCTAACTAATAATCAACTGACAAACAGTAGATGGAGCATCTGACACTAAACTCATCATTTTAAAAGGTAAATAGAATTCTCTTATTCGAAAGAGATTTCTGAAAGTAAAGACAAACTAAGAGCAATGAAAGTAGCAAGGAGCAACCTCTTCACATAATTGCATCTTCTATCAGTGTCTGAAAAGTCAAGGGTTTCTTTGAAAGGGGTGCTATAGAAAGAATAGGAAAATATTACAGCCAGTTTACCACAGAAAACTAAATAGTATTTATTTCTTACAAACACTAAGAAAGGGAATTTATTAGCAACAGCTTAAATTTTTTAAAATAAACAGTTGCAGAAGCAAAGTTTATCTTAAATAAAGACAAAAAGGGCAACTTATCTAAAATTTACCTTACCTGGCTGCCAATGTATGCTGAGTAACAAATTTGCATAAGAACTATAACGTACCCACTAAAACTAGTTCATTTATACAAAATGCCCAGAAGTACCAGTTTTTATCAAATCATCTCAGTCTTACAGTCGAAGAAAATAAATAAGCCCAACGCACAATTTAAAAATCAAGATATCCTAGTTTTTCTAGTGATACTGGATACCCTTTTATTATACTTTTCAGTTTAGTCTGCCTTTTCAATTTTTTCCCAATATGGAGCCATCTGCAGAGGTAAGGTTGTTTAGAACAGTAGGGGAGAAGCAAAAGAGGTCTCCTGGAAGTGTATCTGGTAAAATGAACATTAGATCACATTTCAGGAGGTGTGGAGGAAAGGAAAAAGCAGAACAAGCTCTCTATGATTTAACTGATAAAGGTGATAAAACAGATGCCCACAGTGTTGAACGCATCATCTTCTATGCATCTAAGGGATAATAATACAGAAATCAAGTACTAATTATAGCTATCTGCCACAGTGCTTTATAAAAAGCACAGTGCCAATGGATCCATGGCTAAGCAGTGTAATTAAAATAATAGCAGCACTCAAAGAAAGCCAGATTAGCTTTCTTTAAGTATTCCAGAAAATATATTACAGAAAAGCTAATTTTATGCTTACAAATCTGGTTTCTGTCCTTCCTGTAGTTCATGTTGAGGTACTGAATAAAGCGCTTCGTATTTTCTTTCTTCTCCTGAGCCATGAATTGCAAATGCATTGAACTTGTTAATGCATGGTGGAAAATAATTCCAAGGAAGATGAACTTTACCCTCCCATTTGGTTTTCATTCTGGTCACCTCAAACTCTAAAGAAAGTTCTTCCTGTTAAAGACAAGAAAAATAAACAGAGGTAATGCCATCTTCTAATTGGGCAACAGGTACCTAAACATAACTAGGTTTTCTGTACATTATGAATGTACTTGACCACTTACTTTCCATACTTCTCTTCTGCCAGAAAGCAGCAGCAACAAGTGCTGTCCATGGCTGTCAAAAAAATCAGAGCACCATTTTCTTCGACTTATGCCAGTTGCACAATTATTAGTGCACTGTTCTGTCACAAATACATCCACTTCCCGTATTGGAACAATTTGCTCATACAATAAGTAATTTCCTCATACACATACCTTACAAGCATTAGAACTGAAAATGCAAATAACATATGTAACTTTCAGAGTGCTGTACTTACGGACAAACTTCAACTTCTAAATATTGTTCAGTTCTGTCATTCAGGAAAAATGCTTCTACAACTAAATAAGAAAAAAATGAAAGAAAAAACACCAAAACACACTGTCAGTATTTTATATTAACTATTTTGTAATACCCTGAGACTTTCATTATCCCCCTAAAACAATTCTAGTTTCATGATTTTTGGCCTATGCCATGCCAGACCTTGACTAGCTGTGTACATGCTACCGACAGCTTCCTATTTGAAATGCTGAGCCGTAACTTTAACTTCAAGAGCTTTTATTTCTAATGCTTATCATCATAAAGTGCTTTAAAAAGCACTGTAGTAATCTATTTACTTTACCACTTTCAACTTTCAAAACACTCATCTCGATGTTGCAGAAAAATATGGCCTACTAACTAATGCTAGCTCTCCATAAAATAAGAAAAGCACCACCACACAGCTATTTCATCCAGTATGCTTGCTGTAAACAAAGCTGACCAAGATAAACTGATCCTAATCAATCATATGGCAGGCACTCCAGGAAGAGTACTTAAGTGCAGAAGTCTTGTATTTGCTGGTAGCCTGAGGATTAAATAAAAAATAAATTATATATAAAAAAAAGAAAGGTATATTCACAGCAGACCACACACCTCATAAATAAGACTGCTAAATCTCAGAAATAGTTAAGAAAGCACTGGGACAAGTGATTACTGTTCCAGGCGTACCTGAAAGCCATGTTTAACCACCTTTCAGGAACACAAAGTGGAATTATAAAGGTGTTTCTCAACAGCAATGACATTATTAGAAAGCTTCAGTTAGAATTATGGTTATTTTGTTTTTACATAAGCCTACTTAGTATAATCATATCAGAGAGGTACTAATACTCTTTTAGTAGGTCTTTAATCAGAATATTTCAATAATTAGGAAGTAGAGAACAGCTAGAAACAAATTTTTGCATTATTCAAAGCAGGTGAAAGTGACAGCATTGACAGGAAGCAACAAGGAAAACAGCATTAGTATAAGAATATTCCCCATTCCATTTGGGAACAGTCTTGAATCATATTTTAGAAGCTGAAATCTATTTGTTTCACACTCTCCCAGTCCACAAAAGACTATGGAAAACCAATTAAAATAGACACAGATTCTCTACTTCTTAAAGCAAAAGCAGAACCCATCTTTAGGATTTCACTTCTACTTACCAATTGCAAAGGCATTTATATACACATATACTCCACAAAATTATTTTGATATTCAAATATGTTAAGCCCCTGTTATTCCACAGATTATATCAGTAACTCAGAAACTAACTTTGATTGCCTACACTAGGCACTTGACTAAGCACTCTTTCTTGACTAGGGAGAGTCAGCCTCATCATTCTTGAAATCAATCCACCTCATTGGACTCCATTTCTTCCCAGCCACTGAGTGACATATTTGCTTCTTTTCCCAGTCATTTGTACTGTTGCATTACTATAAACCAATCACTAACCATATGGTCAGCAGTGCTAGTGATGAAAATCATTTCACTGCCTAAAAAAAAGAGCACTGCTATTTATACAGTTTGGGGTAGTTTTCAGCTGAATATAGCATGAGGCTTGTAGTTATTTAAGGAGCTGCTTAAGGGTAAGGCAGTGATTGCAAATAAAATTTTTCCTTGACTGCTCTGGATACAACAGCATAGTAAGTTTTTACTTTATATTTCAGTACAAGCAGTACTGTGACCAAGGAAACTGAACTAGATGTCATACACTCACAACCATTAGATCAGTTTAAAAAAAAAAAAAACCCATCACAGAATCTTAAATAAAGACCATCCATATTAATTACAGAGGAATATCACTGTCTACATAAATTAGATACAACTGCAGAACAGGTATACTTACCCTCATAGTCCCACAGTCTACTGAAAGGTTTCCCCGGCTCTCCAAGTGGCCCTGGAGGGTCATTAAAGAAGGGAGCACTAACTTCCATTAGCAGTCCCACGTTGTTTGACTTCAGCCAAATTGTTGCCAGCTCATGGCTCACAGGTAAACCATCCCATGTGTGTTTAACTGTAAATTCCATGTTCATACACTACATAAATAAGAAAGGAAGGTTCTGTCAATGATCATCTTCATATCCATTTCAGCACCAACTGCACTGTTTGCTTGGCCAGGAAAAGAAGCACACTTTCGTACAAAGTCACTCACCAAATCATGTTTTTACATATTAAAAGAACTGAAATAGTTTAACTTTACAAAGCAACTAAATAAGCAGTTACATGAATCCTTTTCATAGGTTTTTATACTTGCATGGTAACAAATCACCCCGACTCTTACCAAAGGTGATGAAGGTATTTCAAGTATGTACCTAAATAAACACCTTCCAAAGCCATAAAAAATATCTATCAAGAAAACACAGACTCCACTACAGGACCTCAGATGATTTGGTATCATGAGAAAAACAGACTGAGAAAGGCCTTTCATGAATGAGCTATAAGAAAATGAAACAGCTAAAGCTTTCCTTCACAGTCACTGCAAACCAGCCAAACTAAAGGATTTCAAGCAAAACTGCAAGCTCATATTAAACACATTGAATGTTTGCAGAGGCGTGAGAACAGAGAATACTGCACTCCAACAGCTGTTGCCACTTTGAAATATACAAACCTTAGGAATAGCCTTAGTCTATTTAATAAGCAAAAGAACCAGTAGAGCCCAGTTTCCAAATGTCCTGGGTTTAGTAGTAGCAGTCATTTTTCTCTTTCTTGGTAGCTGGTGCAGTGCTGAGTTTTGACTTTCGGGCTGGGAACAGAGCTGATAAAAATGTTTTGGTTTGGCCAAGGACTTTGTGAGCCTCATGCTCTGCCAGGGAGGAGGGGAAGCCGGGAGGAAGCAGAGACAGGACACCTGACCCAAACTGACCAAAGAGGTATTCCATACCACAGCACGTCATGCCCAGGATGTAACTGGGAGTTACCCAGAAGGGTGAGGGGGACTGCAGGGTTGGAGGAGGTATCGGTTGGTGCTTGGTCGGGCTGGGGGGAGCGAGTTGTCAGTCGCCTGGTGATGGGGTGTTTTATTCTCTTCCCTTGTTATTTCCTTTATCATTATTATTATTGGTGGCAGCAGTAGTGATTTGTGTTACACCTTAGTTACTAAACTGTTCTTACCTCAACCTGTGGGAGTTGCATTCTTTTTGATTCTCCTCTCCGTCCCTCCGAGAATAGGGGAGGGCAAGAAGGGGGGGGGAGTGAGTGGACAAGCTGTTTGGTTGGGGTTAAACCACGACACAAACAATTTTAAAGCCCCTGAAGCCTTACTCCTCCTCTGCTTAGTATTATGAGTTCATTCCATATTGATGGTTACTTTTTATCCAAAAAAGCGATCCTTGTTTTTTTCCCTTACACATCTAGACAAACAAGAAGTGAACTGGCAGTACATAGCCCAGCAGAGAATTATAAAAGTTCTGTGACCAGAAATATGCTAGCTCAGTACTTAAATTGTAACCACAGTGGGAAACGCTAAATTTGATCATTTAATCTCTGCCTCACTACCTACTTCCTTCGGACTCACAGAAAAGTTCAGTGTAGCTTACCACATTCTGCAAGTATTATCAACATGTGTAGCACACGAGACAAAGTAACTACATGTATCACACTTCTCTATATGCCATAGCCTTGCTCTTATGACTGCACATTAACTGTTTCATACTCTGCTACAAACATACCCGCCAGCTTCTTTTCACTGATGGGTCATCCTGAAAAGCACCAGATCTCTCTAGCTATTATACTGACCTAAGCCCAAAGACATAAGTAGATACACTCACAATCAAGGAGATAATGATGAGACCAAAGAAGTGTGACAGATTAGAGAAAAATTGAAACAATAGATTTAATCATTAGATACCTTAGGAAGCCTAGTAAAAAAGGAAAGTCAAATATTGGAATACCACTTTGTCAAGGCTGCATTTAAATAAACTGAAAACTAATTAAATTCTTATATCAGCATTTTAACTTCATAAGCCGGACAAGCATCAGATATGCTTTATACAAGAGACCTGGAATAGACCTAGAAACTATGAAAGACTTTACCATCATTAATGTTTGCTCCAACTCAAGTGGCAGGTGAGTTTCTGGAAGCTAGACTGCACAAGCTGAGAGAAAAGTCATTGTAAAAAGCACGGGAAGACACCTTACAGCATCCTAACAGCATTCTTAGGCCAGCAGAAAAGGGCTCACAGTCCAGTATTAATACTAACTCAAACAGGCAAAGCTAAATCACAGCAGTTTAAAACAAAAAAGAGATAGTTAGGTATTCCCAGCAAGTAAAGTGACAGCTCTTCTCCAATAATTACAATGTATACCACCAAATAGAAGAGCAATATGCTAAAAAACAAGTCCCTTTCACAACATAAACAGCTGCTGAAACATACTCGATGGGCTACTTAGCCTTAAAATGATTTAGAAAATACTAGTCCACAGAAAATGGAGGCAAGAGCTATGTTTTTACTGTTTTTAAGCTACACTGGGCAGCATAAGCATGAACTCTCCACATATGGTAAGGCCCTTCCTAGTTTTTTTCAGAATGAACCGAATTCCTGTAAATTGAATACATGTGCCTTGTGCACTTACCATGAAAAGGAACAAAACAGAATTTCATAAGGAGGATTACTTACTGGAAAGAATAAAGACAAGATGGGTGCATGTAAACAAATTAATGAAGTGTTATGAACACATTTTATACTACATTATTAAATTAACATGCACTTAAGAAGTGAACATTCCCTTCTATCATTCGGTTTCAATTTGTGCTAATATATTTAACTATTTGCTTTCACTGGTCAAGGCAAATGCCTGAAACACCTATCTGAAAGAACTACCAGATTTTAGTAGCTTTCTAATAAAAGTAGGCTGGAAAGATCTTAAAATACAGAGTGTCCTGGGTTCTGCAGTAGCAGTCATTTTTCTCCTTCTTAGTAGCTGGTGCAGTGCTGTGGTTTTGATTTTCAGCCTGGGAACAACGCTGATAACACCGATGTTTTTAGTTGTTGCTCAGTAATGTTTACTCTGACCAAGGACTTTCTCAGTCTCATGTTCTGCCAGGGAGGAGGGGAAGCCGGGAGGAAGCAGAGACAGAACACCTGAGCCAAACTAGCCAAAGAGGTATTCCATACCACACCACTTCATGCCCACTATTTAAACTGGGGGCAGTTACCCAGAAGGGTTAGATCACTGCTTGGGTCGGGCTGGGTATCAGTCGGCTGGTGGTGAGCAGTCGTGTTCTCTTCCCGTTATTTCCCTTATTATTATTAGTGGTGGCAGCAGTAGTGGTTTGTGTTATACCTTAGTTACTGGATTGTTCTTATCTCTACCTGTGGGAGTTAAGTTCTTTCCGTTCTCCTCCCCATCGCTCCAAGAGCCGGAGGGAGGAAAGGTGAAGGGGGTGTGCAAGTGGCTATGTGGTTCTGAGTTATTGGCTGGGTTTAAACCACAAGAATTACATGACTAGCTATTGCAATTCCTTCCTGAAGTAAGCAATGTGAAGCTTGCCTTTGGGCATAAGATTCTAAATTGTCTCTGGAAAAGTCACGACATAGCAAGTTTAATAGAAAAAAAAAAAAAAAGAAAAAGGCAATGGAATAACTTGCTAACCTATTTTAGACACTACTGTAACTGCAGTGCCTAAAACAAAGACAAGACACAAGACGCATCACACATGCACATCCCTATTTGTACCTATACGACAGATGTCTTTTTTTGGTTAAAAAAAACCTTCTAACTCCTGCAGGGACAATTCACAGTATACCTAAATAAACATACTGAAGATTTAGCCTGCTACTGGAAACCACCATTACTCTTGAATTGAAAAGCACTGAATTTAAAACAATCAAAAATCAAACAGATATAATGGGAAACTGCAAAACATTCATTAGCATCTGTTGCTCAATTTACAGGACAGAAGATACAAAAATTTCCATATTAACAGCCTTTGGTGCAACTTTTAAGTTTATTACATTGCACGGATTTAGCTAAGCTGGTTACTAGCATGCTTTTTAATTATAATAAAACCAACAACACATAGAAATAGTGTAAAAGCAAAACAAGAGGTAACCCTCCGTTACCTTTTAACATTACACCTCTACCAGCTGCTAATACGCTGTAAAGACATGCAAACGCTCAACAGTTTTACAGCAAGTACTTTCTCAGTCACTTTGTAGTCATATTGCATGGCCTCAAGACACACAGTGCCGAGAACACCTAGCTGGTACGCTCAGACCCCAGCAGCAAGGAGAAATCTGCTGCTGCTCGCCGCTGCCACCACTTCGTATCTCTCCCTACCGAACGGATTTACGTCGTCCATTCCAGACCCCACCCAGGCCGGTAAGAAGGAAAAGGACAAGCAGGAAGTAGTTACCCTAGTGTTTTTCTTAATTGCTCCAAGAGAATGGGAGGAAAGTCGGAAACCGAGGAGAGACAGTAGCTTTTAGCGTATTTAAGATTTCGCTTTTAGACACAGGCAGGAGCTCCCAGAGGGCTTCAAGGTGCCTCCGGTCTCGGAGCGCCCTTCTTCGACACCAAGTCCTCCAGACGTGTTCAGCAAGACACTTCTTACACCCACTTACACCCACAAACCCACATACGCACCTCCGCCACTACGCCCTCCCTCAGGTGCCGCTCCAACGCGCATGCGTGGGTGCGCGCGCGCACACAGCCACTCCCACCACTCCCAGCTCCCCGCCCCAGCCGCTGCCGGGAGCGGAGCGCGAAAGGGTTCGGCGTTTAGGCGGTCAGTGAGTGCGGTGCGAGGCGGGGTTCAGCGGCTGCTGAGGTGCTCGTGGGCCGTTAATGCCGGTTGGTGCCCAGAGTCCATTTTCTTTCAGGCGGCGGCGGTGGTACTGGTACGGTTGCTGCTCCGGGCTGAGGGGAAGGTGTGTGGAGGCTCTCCTAGCTACAGCTGTGGCTTTATTTAACGAGAGAAGTGGGAACTGGTGGGTGAGGGAAGTGCGTCTTCGTTGCCTGGAACTTACTGATTCTGTCTTAATGGTTCTCGTCTTCTTTATTCGCCGGTGAGCTGAATGGCCGAAATAACTGGTGTTTCTCCGGGTTTTTTCAAGCAGGCTTGCTTCGAGCTAACTAAGCGGCGATGAAGTTTCCCACGAGAAACATGGCTACTGAGCTCAACAGTGGAGGGAGTCAGGTGAGATCTCTGCCAGCGGTCAGCATCTCGGGCTGTCCTCCCGCTCCTGACACTTGGCGTGTCGGGACACATTGTGTGCCTTCACAGCGCTACGTTGTTAAACATTTTTGGCTGACAAGTTTATGTAGATAATGTCCCATGTTATAGCTCTTATTCTCAAACTTGGTATTTTTCAGATTAAAAGCTAAGTATGCTACATGAAATAAATGAGATTTTGAGAACTACTTCTGACCAGGTATGTGAACTTGGGGAAGGAAGTAGTAAGATATTTTTTTACATAATAAAGTTTTGCAACAAACATCTTTCTATACATAGACCACAGGCTGCTTAAGAGTGGCCTGGCCTTGCACTGGGTCCATCCTACAAATCTAGCGCTGCTTGTTTTTCCAAGCATAAACAATAGAATAAAACTATCATAACAGTGAAATTCTGGTGTATTTAGTGCATTTTCAAAAATTTGTCACATGCAGGAGGACACATGATTTCTCCATTAGTAGACACTCACAGACTTAATTTTTTTTTCTGAGAGACTGGTCTCTTGTTAAGAGAACTTTCTGTGCTGGGTACAGTCGACCTGTCTGAAGGTCTGAACAGAAGCTGGCATATCAGCCTTTGCTGATGCTGAGGTGTATGGAAATGAGCTTAGCACTTACACAAATCTCTGATTGCTCTTTGAAGAGTGAGATGATTCCCCCTCAGATCCAGTTATGCTTTATATCAGAGCATCTCCAGGAAAAAAAGAAAAAGTTGATTTTTTTCAAATTGGGCCACCTGAGTGTTTTTGAGCATAAACCTGAAAGCTGTCATGTGGGATATTGCATATTATTATGGTGCAGACAAAACAACAGCTTTGGGTTGCACATAAAAATTTAAAACTACATGCAGTCATGTGCACTTACTAACATGTAAAGTATACTGTTACAGAAAGCTGCCCCTGGTTGTGGTGTCATGTCAGGATCCAGGATGATGGATGAAAGGTAACTGCAAGTGATAAGTGGGAATACTGTGAAGTACTTAAAGAAATCATCATGTGCTTTTAAAAATTTAACCAGGTGAACCTGGTCCTATGTGAATATATTCACAGCTCTGAACTTGTCTGTAGATCTGTAAAAGTGTTCCTGTAGTAGCTGTTTTTAGATACTGTTCTGTTCATTCAGTGAACTAAATATGTGACTTTTCTTCTGCAATCTGTAAAATAAAGGATGAGATATGAATGGAGGAATTCTGTAGTCGAAATTTTAAGATGATAAATAGAAGTGCAGCTAGGATTGTACTGATCTAGGTAACACAGGTAACTGCTGTCTGTTGAGGTCAGGTGGCTGTTTTTAAAAGTGCTTATTTGACAGTCTTCAACTAAGAGTTGCCTATTAGTAAATTGTTTAATAATTATTGTCATCCCTGTTATAAAAATAACCTATTGTTTCTTGTTAGTTTTTAAGGTATTATCCATTTAAACTAATACAGAATTTTCAGGTAATTACTCTCAATTAAAAAAAAAAAAAAGTTAAGAAGGAAAAAAAAGATACTAGTGAAACTACCTTAGTTTACATTGTCTTACTAGTGCTTTACTGTTGTATGTGAAAGAGTAGCAGTCTACTTTTCCATCATTTGGGATTCTGTGTATGAAATACTGATGCTCTCTTACTGCTGATTTATAATGTCACATGTTCTAAGTTCTGTTATAGAGGAAATACACTGTTGACGATTATACTTTAAAAATAGTAATTATATTTGTTCATTTGAACAAATTATATTTGCTCATTTGATTCTGGTGAATGTCAAGCTTAGATATAAAGAAAAGTGACTGGTTTTTAGATTAAGAATTCTTTAAAACTCATTTATTATCAGAGCAATGTTTTAGCATTTACAAAACTTAGCATGTTTTTCAACTTTCTAGCTTGTCAGCTCTAATGAAGGAGTATTATGAACAAGTGGAAGAAATGAGAAAACAGCAGCAGCTTTATTGGGTATGGATGTTCCTAACATTTCAGACTGTAAATTCTTAGTATTTTATAGTATTGATGTCTAGGCTATTAGTTTTTGTCACTGCCTTCGCCACACTTCACAAACTTGCTGGACTACAGTCTGTCTAAAGTGGATGAATGGAGAGCTTTCAGTTAAAAGGTTGGGAGATTGTCCAAATTGCACAGATTACTGTTTGGAGAAGTTTTGTAAAATAAAACATACATGATTTATATCTTTAGATGTTCTGATGTGGTTGAGGGTATTTTCTCAGGTGAAATTCAGGTGCAGCAGCTGTTTCTCTCTTATCTTACAGGTCTGATTTTGGCCGTGCAGTCCCGCTCAGTCCTGCAAATGTAGATGCACCCAGCCCTCTTCATTCTTAATAATTCTTTAGATTCTAATAGTTCTTTAAATGTTGATTATCATGGAGAATGTGGTGGAGGGGGACTGTCCACCTTTCAGCCACAGAAAAAATAAACTTTTTAATGCTTCATATGATCACTGAAAAGCAAAGTAATTATATGTTTAATATTTAAAACCTGTGGCAACCAGAAAGCAGTTTTTACTTGTGATCTACATGCAAAAGGGATCCTCCGGTTTTGATTTAATGCACTTAATTTGTTAAATTTGTTTATCATAAGGATTATGCAAACACAGTCTTGAAGCTTGGCTGATTTCAGAAGGCAATAGAAGCCCTATGGTATTGTTACACTAGTTAACAAAACAGTCCATTCGACTCGTGTAACTGAAGTTTGTCCTCAGTTAATTTTTAAACTGTTTCCTCAAATACTTACTGCTTGAAAGATGAGTTATCTACTGTATCTCTAAAAGAGCTTGAGTTAATAAAGAATCAGTCTGTAAGAGCCATAAGAACTCCTAAAGGTAAGTTTAATGCTCATAATAGCTTGTGAATGCTTTAGATATAACAAGACCTGGAATATACAGGACTTAGCAGCTCTTAAATTTAAGTAGCATCCTGTGACTTTCCTTAAAGAGTTAACAAAGCTTGTGTCACCTGAATGAGTGTTTACTCTTGCATGTTTTTATGTTAGGTACAAATGAGAGAGATGAGACAAAATCTTGAACAAGTCACTCGAGAAAATGAAAGGTAAATAACTGCACTTCTGCTTTTCTTGATTTCTAAACCTTGAAAAGCTTTTTCTCTAGGACCTTGAAGTCTTTTGAACCTACTTAACAGCTGATTTCATACAGGCTCAGTGGCTCAATGTTAGTGCCGTTAAGTGCTTACTATAGATTGCAGAACCATGTTTAGGAGATTTAACTATGTATCTAAAAGAACTAGATGGTAAACTATTTCAAACCGTCCATTGTGTTTGTAGAACATAAAAATAGATTTAAATATGACTGAGAAGCCAACAGTATGTACAGATTGAAAAGGTACAGTGTACTTCAGTTGTTAAAAAAATCTTTGTTAAAGAAATACTTTGCTGAACTTAGTTATTTGAATTTCAGGCTGCACGCAGAGTTGAAAGAGGCTATTGAGAAGCAACTGGACACCTTTCCTTTCGTGTCTCTGGGAACTGATATTCTTGCAGATGATTATACAGTGAAAAACCTTCAAGAGCAACTAAAACTGGAAACTCAAGTGTGTGAGATAAAACAGTACAAATGTTTTACTACTCTTGTTGTGCCTTGGCAGATTAGAGGAAGCTGATTTATTTATTGGTTCAGAGTTAAGTTTTCAGAGTTCCTTGACACTCTTTTGAGGCGTTCTGACGTTCTCTATCTACATAAGTGTTTGTACTTTCAGCTGAAAGACCTGAAGGAACTTCTTTCCTAGATTAATATAAGGGTTTTTAGAATTAATTTGTGTCTGTGGTTTTTCATAGTTGACTTCATCTGGAAGTCAGCCTGACCAGGAAATTAATGAAATGCTTTGTTCAATTCAAATTTTTGTAGTAGAGTAAAAATAGAGGTTAAGAGCTCTCTTTAGAGAATGATAGATGAAGGTAAATGTGCTATAATGAAATATTTCATACAAACTATTGTTCTGTAACAGGCAAAGGAGAAAGCAGTAGAGCTTTGGCAGACTGTAGTACAGGAGCGTGATCAACTCCAGCAGAAGTACCAGGAGTACCTGACTGAAACAGAGATTCACATGGTTGAAATGCAAAAGCATAAAGTAACTTTAATTTGTTTTTTTAATTTTGGAATCTTTCTATACTGTAGAGATGATGGGGGGCGGGGGTGTAGTCAAACTGAAGGAGGGAGGTGTCTACCAGTACTGTTAGTTATTTTGCATTTTTCCATAATAGCTACCTAAAGGTGCATGGTTAGATGTGGTCACTGATTCATCAGCTAAATGCACTGTTATAACTGAAAAATTCTTTATTTCAAATATATGGGCAGGAACTTGCAGAGGACATGGAGTCTTACTGTGTATATATGTATATGCACACAAGATAGTCATGTGCATATAAATGTGTTTGAATTGCAGGGTTGGAAATCATGATTTTTTTTTTGCTGTTTTTAATTGAGGGGTGGGTCTGCTATTGTGCTTAGCAAAAATACTTATAATGGCATCATAGTCTATGTGGCGCTTTAAAGGCACTGCTTATGTTTTCATATTTTGGAAATAAGTATGTATGAGTATTGGAAGGAGGCAATTTATAACTGAGTGAAACCTGGATACATATTTCAGTAGCACATCTAATTATCCGGGTTACTACGTCAACAGATAAAAACAATCTAATTAAAATCTACAAAGGTATATTGAATTTCCTGCAGTGTGTATACGTTTTTGGGAAATGTTTTCAGTTGACTATGAAACTATAATTATACACTTTTTATGATGATAATAATTATAGCAAGCTCTGAATTCTCTTTTTAGGATCAGCTGACTGGTTTTCAGCAGTTGACTCAGCAACTGCGCATAGCCAATACAAAGAAAGAGTTGGTAAGTAAAACTTCTGAAAAATGACCTAGTAAATTATGGGGGAGGGGTTCTACTAGAGCCTCAAAGTATAAAAGAAAAGCAAAAAGCCCTTCATTTGTTGAAAAAGAAATTGTGCCGTTCAGAATTGCAGACTTCTCTGGGGATGAGTCAAAAATCAAGTAGTAATAGCTCTTTTTTTCCTTAATTTCAAACACCTGGTCAGCCTGGTTGAGAGGTTAGCTCTTAATATTCAAGAACTCAGGTTACACTCATAATTTGAGTATGTGATGAGTACACTTCAATTACACACATCCAAAGCCATCTCCACAAAGGAAAAATTTAATTATCACCTTTATACAGGCTATTCTCTGCCACATACTTACTGATTGTTTGGCACTGATGGCTTCAGTGTCTGTTGTCAAACTTTTCAAAGGTTTTTCTGAGCAATAATTATTGGCCAGTGCTTCATCCATATACTTGGGATTATGAGACACCTTGGTCTCTAAGATTTAGCCTAGGACTTATTAGGATTAACAAAAACTTTTAATACTGTAAAAAAATCAAGGTGAAATCCTGACCTACTGTAGGTAGTCTACTGTCTTTATCATTGGAACCCTTTTTCCTCAGATGTGACCTCCTGTTAAAATATTCTTGTTAAAATATCAGCCAGATTTCTTTGGTGTGAAATAGTCTAGGTATGAACGAAAGATTATTACATTCTTTGTCATGGTGCCTCGGTTATTGAAACTTCTCTATTCCCATCTGTTCCCTTTTCCCACTTTTGTATTCTGTCCAAAGCCAGTGAAGTCTCTAAATGTTCTTTGACACTTCTTTTTAACATATCTAATCATTCTTATAGCTCACCATTAAATTTTTTCCAATTGTGTCATCGTTCTTGAACTGTGGTGCTGGAAACAGTACAATATTCCAATTGAGCCCTTACCAATGTTGTGTAGTATATTTCAGATTACTACAGAACTGTATCTTGCAAGTAGTTGTCCTGTTAATAAAAGCAAAATAACAGTCTGAGAGGAACTTGTGTATTATGTCATTTCGAAATTCACTATTCTGTAAAGATAGGTTCTTCAGAGTTATTGGGAGGTAGCTGTCTAAAAAAAAAATCTCAGGCAAATACAATTATGAGCTTTTGAAGCAGTTTTGCTGAGGATTTTGCGGTTACAGGCTGTTTAATCTGCTACTACGACGTCAGTAGTAGGTACCTAAAAAAACAATCACTGAATGCTTAAAATCATAAAATTGGAAAGAGATGATATGGAGAGGAGAGAGAGTAAAATACATGAACTCATGGAAAGAGATGAAACAGATGATGTTAACATAAAGGTAATACATTTGTCCGTTCCAAAGGATAGGTGTGTGGTAATCTATACTCTTATCCAGAAATAAAGAAGCATGCCCTTTCTTGAACTAACAAACTGAAAAATAGGAAATAAAGTCAGATTCTTTTTTTATTGTGGTTGAACAGCTGTATTTCCTAGATGTGCTCAGATTAGAGATGTTCAGCATATTTATAAATGATATGAGATTCAGTATTGAGGCAAGTGTTAACTGCTGATGTCAAGCTTCTTAGGGTAGTGAAAACTAAAGTAAACAGAAATTTGCAGAAAGATCTCATGATCTTGAGTATCTGAGTGAATTTTATCTGGCATTGATATTAAAAACAAAATAATGCATGTGGGCAAGAGGGAGCTTTCATTTTGCCTACTCTGTGATGGTCTTGAAATCAACTGTTACCACTCAGAACAGGTATTTTAGATGTAGGAAGTGTCTGAAAACAATTCTTAGCAACAGTGAAAAAAGCAAAAAGAATGTTAGCAATTATTAGGAGATGGGGTAAGGAATATATTGTGTTTAAGTCCGAAATGCATCTTGAATGCTGCCTGCAGCTGTGGTTATCTCTAATATCTCAATGTAAGGTATATGTAAGATCCAGAAAAGGCTAGTAGTGTAACAAAAATAGGAAATGATTCTTAAATGATAAGGCAGTTGAAGGAGAATGGCAGCTCTTGGTGGCATAGAAAAAATGAAGGAGTAGCAATTGCTCATTGTTTGTTGTCTCTACTTTCCATGTGTTCTACTATTCTGTTCATTGTCATAAGGTATTCCAGGCACCTAAACTAGATGCAAATGCAAACAGTTGGTCTGAGGTATTACAGTTCTCATCTCAGCAAGTTTCTATGCTACCAAAATATGGGGAGGATTAAGTAAAATCACTTCTGTGTTTGCCCTTCTAAAATACTCTTATCTAAAACTTGGAGATGAGCCACAGTGTTAAATAGACCTTGCTGGCTATTTTAATGGTATTATATTCTGTAGAAGTGCCCTGTCACAATTCTAAACATCTATTTTCAATACCATAAGGAGCATGTTACATGTATCTTCTTATTTTGCAGACTAATCAACAGCTTCTGCAACTTGTAGCAGAACAAAATGTGGAACTACAGAACCAACAAAAACAACTGAGGTATAAACCAGGCTATTAAAAAATTATCTGTTCTATAGCTTTTTCTAACCTGCTGCTATATCATGGGCCTTGTTTATACTGTAAACTGCCTTGATAATGATAGTTACAATGGTTCCAGTTAAAGCCTCTTAAGTTTGTTAGAACTGTGTGCATCGTTAGTGTTAGGGTAGCATATTTCCAATTAGCGTTGTCTCAGCTGTTTCCTGAAATATTCAACATTTGACTGTTGGTTTAAAAAGAGCAAAGTGTCAATATCACAGTGAAATTTACTCTGGAGATAAGTTTTCAGTAGAAGACAATTTGCTCAAAATCCAGTAACATAATTACTCATTAACATCCTGAAATTTGAATGTTCAAAGTAGTTTTAAATTTGAATGGTGTTAATAAAATTTCCGTTTACTGTTTCTCAATAAAGAGCGATAAAATGTGGGCTCTGTGTAAATTACAGGTAAGAGGAGTACTAACTATATTCCTGAAGTATATCAAGGAAAATGAGGAAAATAGCCGTGACGCAATTTCATGATTATTTGTGTTTACAGCCAGAGTCTGTTCAGTGCCAGTTTACTGTGTCTGTTAAACCTTCTAATTAGTGATGGTTGAGGTAAAACTAAAATTTCAGTAACCAGTGGATTTGTCGAATGACAATAAAAAGGAAATGGACTCGTTATCAACCAGTGATGATTTTTTTTCTTTTGTAGCATTACCCTAAAACTTTAAATAAGCTCTTCAAAATAAACATATTTCTAAGCATAAAATTTATAATGTGCCTAAATTTGGAGTTAAATTTTCCTTTGATTTTTAGACACTGTAATTTCCTTCAGTACTGTGATTAAAGTATTTAATATAGTTGGACTGCTGTGATTTTGTTAGGTGGTTTTCTATTTTTATTTTTAAAGAACATCACCCCCAAAATGGTAAAAATCACTCCTATTTTTATGTAAACAGTTAAAGATGGCTCTCTGTGTGCATTCACTCAATTTTGTATGCAGTTTTTGCAAGCAGTTCTGGTATTGAGAAACCTAGGTTGACTGCATCAGTCCTTCTCTCGCCTCTCTTCTGAACCCATCCAAAAAATTACATGAAAAGCTGCTGCTATCTGTTGTAGTGCTGAGTGGTTGTCACTGTAAAGACTGGGTATTCCATGAATTTCAGCATCTGTTTAATGAGTCTAGTTGTACTATTCATAGATATTAACGTTACTGTGTCACAAAACCCACATTTAAAGGTACAGGTTGAGGGTGAATGAATAGTTTCATTAGTGTTGAATATTGGTCATGGTTGAATATTTATTAACCAATTTAAAAGTTGGGTTTGTTTGTTTTTTTAAGATTGGATGCATCCAAGCTTTCTTGCTGTTAGAGCAATAAAAATTAGCTGCCTCCACTATTAAGCTTTCACCCCGATTGGTACAGTGTTGTTTACTTACTAGAATAATTTTGTTTTAAACAATATTTAATTTTACATTTCCTTTTGTACAATAAATGTAGGACCAGAACCTGCTTACAAATGCCAGGTTAGCTCAATTACTGAAAATGTGTTTTTGAGAGGGACTTGTTAGGACCTCTCATTTTTATTAGTCAAGATTTTTATTTGGAAAAATTGTTTTCATAAATCATGTTTTGGACAACAAGTGTTATGACAAGCAATCAAAGATTAACATGGTACTTGCCTTGGTATGGGGTATTTGCCAAAATATTTCTAAACTAGTCATCACTTACAATTTGCTTGTGCTACTGTTCTTAGAAGGGAAATAACATTTTCATATCCCTACTTTTTTTGGAACTTCTTTGCAGAGGGTATTAGTACTGAATTACTGTTTTGATCTCTCATTCATCTGTAAATCTTTGCTCTTGCATTGACATGCTTACAGTGACTCATGTAATAAGTGGGGCTGAAAGCAATTAGCATAAACTGAACCTATTTTAGATATTCAGTAAATGTCTAAATTCTCTCTAAGGTCTCTCACCCACAGTCATGAGATTTAATGTTTCCTTTCAAGCTGCTGTTTTAGAAGTCTTTCTGGAACTATTTAATCTGGCTGGCAGTGATCATGAGCAACCTTTGTCATTGTTACACTCCCTTATAGCATTCTCAGTTTTGGGAAAAGAGGATCTTGGAGGATTTTTGCCTTTAATTGTGGGCTCTGACTGCAATTGTGTCCTCTCAGAGCAGCTAGTTCTTGTAACCCTGAAAGTGGTGCTGTTATATTTGTAAAGCTAACGACAGCAGCTCTGTATAGCTCTAAAAGTGCTGCAGTGATTTTTTTCAAAAAGTCTGGTGTATTTCGTAACTTGTTTCTCTTAACGTGAAGTTACATAGATGTAGTTTGCATGGATTATATAGCATATATTACATACAATTCCAATCCTTTACATTGTTTTTAATAGATAAACATTGATTTATGATGGTAGAGTAAAAAGTCAGGAGAGGAAAAGTAGATCCAAAAAACCAAACTTGTGTATAAGAGAATTTAGGTTTGATTTAGGCTTTCTGGCCTAGATTGAATGTAATTTTGGAGATTCTGATACTGCTAAATTTATAAATGTGTTTTGATAAATTTTAGATACTTTAAAATTAATTATGTCAAAGTATGCAATCTGACATGTAGCCATGAACCACTTTAAACGTGCTCCTGACATATTGTCGTGCTCTATTTCCAGTACATGTGCCTAAAGGAATACTGTTAGATTAAGATTTGGCAAGTAATCTGGGAAAAAGAAGACAAAATGAAGAATTCCGCTGGAAGTTATTTTCAGCTTGATGTTAGCTTTTATTCTTTTGATCAGACCTTACCCAAAATAAAAAACTGAAATTTGGAAAAAAACTCCTTAAGAAGCGCTTAAGTCCTAAATAATTGCTTCTCATCAATATTAACATAAACTGAATTTAAAATGTACTACATTGTACTATTTATGTACTATTATGCTAGCTATTGAAGGGCCATAATCTGCCACTCTTAGAGACATTGTAATTTTTTATGTATTTCTGTAGAGAATTGAGGTTTGAATAGATTTCACTTTCATGCTAGAATTTTTACTGAAACATTTATTTGTGCTTTAGTGTTTCAAAGCTCTGTTGTATACAGCTAATCGTTTATTCACTGTGTTGCTGTTCTGTTGAAGTAACTACTAGCAGCTGTCTCTGGAGAGTGGATGCTTAACAGGCAGTGACCTAATGGTCTTTTCTGGTGGCTTGAACTGTTGAGTTTTACTGAGGGTATTAAAAATGTTTTAATCTAAATGCTAATGAAATATTTTTAAAGATTGGTAGGTAAAATATATAAATAAGAAAACTGGCATTGCTGGGGTCTGTATCTGCATTTCAGAATCTTAATGCTTTTAAACAGGGAACTTGCCAAGGTTATGTTGAAGATTTATTGCACAGTGAAGAATAAAATCTGCATCTTTAGAATTAATTTGTTGCCTGTTAAACACACACCTCTGAATTTTATCTGAATCTGAATTCCTTAAAATTCATTTTCTATATTTAAGCTTTTCTGATTTTTATGACTTTTTTTTTGTTTGCTTCTCCTTATGCTGGGTTTTAAGGTTTTGTTTTGGTTTACAGCACATTTTAAATATCTGGGGGAAAGCAACTTAATGTCCTCATAGATTTAATAGTACTTTTTGTAGGAGAAAGGTGCATAATTCAGATGGAGTAAAATCAAACTTCTGGACCTGCAATGAGGACCATATGTCTGGAAATAATGTTTTTAACTCTTTTTTTTTTTTTTTTTTGCTTTTAAAAGAAGCTGTAACAAAATTAGCTTTTCTGATTAATTAAGCTGAAATTAAGTATTTGCTGTGGAATTGCTGGGATCATGTATAGCTTGTTTAAGATATTCATGTAGGTATAATAGGTTCTTGTTTTTTGTGTCATTAAATCAAAGTCACTATAAGGATTGTTTTGCTTCATATTGATTATTTAAATATTTTCTAGCTTTATTTGTTACTATTGGTGCTCCAGTTTGCATTACCTTATCTAATATGTTTGCTCTTTTTTTAACCGTATCATACGTGCTATCATTGGTCTTTAAATTTAGCCTAATATACAGCCTGAATAATTGGGGTACACCCCAGGTGAAGGACTCAGTCTTTCTGCTGTCAAGTTAGAGCAAGGAGGGTTGCCCATTTCAATAAGCTTTTCTACTTAGGAGGAAGTCTGATTCATTAACTAATCCTCATGTAAAACCTATTCAAGTTACAAAGCACATCAGTTAAATTCTTTGGAAGTGGTTAATGATTTTTTTTTTTAATTTCTAGTCAAATTGCTATAAAAAGTGAAATCTAATACTGTAAATGATTTTTCTATGAGGTATCTGTGGCCAGTTATATTTAAGCTGACTTTGACTTGAAGTTCTTGTTTGCCTTGTCCTCTCAAATATGTAATCAACACATACACCTTTCTGTTAGAGGTCTTAAAGAAGTCATTTTCACAGAACAGTTGTTTAGTGAATCTGTTTTTCCTCTTTCACTATGCCACACAGTAAGAAGGAGAAGGGGGAAAGTTTTCTGCCCTGTAGGAGCAGTGTTACGAAATTTGACTGCACTTCACAGCTATTTCAATAAAGTTGTAATTGATCTGTTGTTGGGTTTTTTTTTCCCTGTAATAATTGAAATGTGATTCATAAACTATTTTCTTTATACAGGCAAGCCAGAAAAGATGAGCAGGCAGCAAAAGTTAAGGTTGATGAAATGACCAAATCAACAAAAATGCTTCAAAGCCAATTGGAGAGAAAGGTACTTTAGAGAAAGGAATAATTTTCTATTGCAATTGAATGGCTAGTCAGTTACCTGAATGCTGACATAAAATTAATCCCAAATTGTTCTCTAACTTGTTTTATGTTAGTACATACTTATTTTGTTCAGGGAAGGTCAGATGATGTCTAGATAATGCATACATTCTTTCTAGGAAGAAAACATGCTATTTGACCAGCAAAGAGAAGCAGCATTTGGCAGACACTTGAATCAAATGCAGGAGAGGATAAAACAACTAGAAACAAGGTAACAATCACTCCTTGGGTTTTAATCACACAATACATGCAAGTAAGTTTAAATACTGTGGGTTTTTTCAGCCTCTGGGTTTTGTGTTTCTGAGCAGCAATGTTTTCTCAAAATACAGGTGTCTTATGCTTGGCTGCTCTCACCTTTCAGAACAGCTTCTGATTTCAGTGGTTTTAAAATGATAAACAGGCCACCTGATTTTATTGACTGTAATGGAGAAAAAATGAGGCATATATGTTTCATTCTAGTACATAAATTCTAGTTACTCAACTCTTGTTAGCTTTGGGTGGAACTCTAAAGAAAACCATTGGTACTGAAATTCGAAAACGTTTATGTAAACTAAAAGGTTTTGAAGTGATTCCCTCCCCCCCCCCCCGTGTTAGATAGGATTTGTTTTGAGGTGTTAGTTCAGCAATATTTACACAGAAAAAGATAATGACATTGTTAAAGCTCACTTCTTAACAATAAATGCTAATTACAAAAGCAGATTGAATAAGTTTGAGCTAAGGACTAGAACTTAAAGTCCAGCACTGTCTACTGGAAGATGTAAGACTTGGGTGCTTTTATGTGGATTTTTTTCCCCTTCATTTTCAAGGGTAAGACACTTGGCTGAGCACAGTGATTTTTGATTCAAGTATCATAAACTTGAAGTTAATTCCAGTTGTTGAATTATTAGCATTAGTCAAAAGAGCTGATAATTAAGAATATGTAAATTTCTTACTGAAATAATTGTGTGACTGTTCATCTTCCATTCTTGGCCAGCCTTGCAAGCATGACTCTTCAATAACTCTAGAACCCAAATAATTACTAGGGAACCAACCTTGTAAATGTGTGGTCAAGTACTGTCTCAAGTTGTTGCACAGGCTAGTGAGGCCATCTCTACTTGATGAATTTGGCTGGCCTTAGCATTTTGTAGGATCTTAAGTTTATTTTAGAATATCTGAAGCAATTAGCTCATTTTACTGTTTTCTGTAAGTTTTTGGTCTTGCAAAAATTGGGCTTTGGTTCTACAAAAACCTGATGGTTGTCTCTGTTTTTTGAAGTGCTCTCAATGGATATTTAGAACCATGAACTTCATTGAGCCAGCAGTACTTGTGGAACTTTGAGATTTTTTGAGGATACCTCTGAGGCTTTCTTGCTCTTTTTCATGCTTACCACTACTGACAATCACAATTAAACAAGATTTTCCAAGCTGTTGTAAAATTACCAGTGGTTTCTTGTTCTAATGGTATAGCTGCAACTTCATTGCTCACATCCAGTTATTCCATTTCTTCCACAGAGGTAAACTGTATTCCTTCTGGGGCTGTTATATTCTGTTTTAATATAGAACATTTGCAGTGATGTATCCCAGGATAGCACCATTCTTCTAAGGATCTTCTGAGATTAGGTAACTGAGTTAATTCTTTTAGTTCTGTTTGTTTCTAGGACTTGATGAATATTAAGCTCGAAGACTCTGTCCAAAAACAAGCAGAAAACCAGGAATGCAGTTTTGGCAACTTATGAATGCATCTTATTAGTTTAGCTTGCAAGTATTGGTGTATTAATTAACCATCTTATTGTTAAATTAGTAAAATTATTACTGTCTTGTAGATTAAGCATTACTGTCCAAGATGCTCAACAGCAGAGAAAAGAAAGAGCAGCCTGGGAGAAACAAAACGTGGCACTTCAGAAAAAGATTGCTAAACTAGTAAGGGAGAAGCATGATGCTGTTGCAAAAACCCAAGATTACGTACACCTCTTACAAGAAGCTAACCTACAAAAAAGTTGGGTAAGGCAAATGTTGAAGATATTTCTTAGTTATTAGAATACTTTAATTACTTACAGTTGTGAGGTGCATACACAACCAAGTTGCATGTCTGTTGTACTAAAATTACTACAAGTGCATAGTGTGATACGACCATACATTAGTTAGACTTGTTCTACAGTACAAGTTTCAACGAATATGTTGAGTGTCTGGATAAAGGTGACCTAAGTGATAATACTGTACCTGAACTTGAATTGTCAAAAATTTTTTACAGAGTTTCTTGTCAACAGATGTTTCTTGTTTCTTATAAACAAATTGGACTGCCAGAATAAAAAGGTTGTTAACGAATTTCTAACTTAGGAAAGAAGAGCTAAAACTAAAAGGAATTTTTTTGTTACACAATGGGCATAGGTGAGCAAGAGAGCGAGTTCTGTGTTCGGATCTTAATGATGCAGAAGAAATCTAAAAATGTGTCTGAGCAATCAGTGGGTGAAGTGTGCAGTCAGGAAGAATTTGCCAAGGTGTTTAGTCATGTATTATAAAATGCCAGAAGAAATCCAGATATGCCATACTGGTTGTTGAATTTAGTCTTACCAGAAAAAAATGGTTTAGGAGATAGTGTGGATGTCGCTAAAGAATATACTTGCACAATCCTCTGTGGTGCTCAATATGATGAATAGAATGTGTAGAGTGAATGCAGAGTGAATAAAGATGTCTTTAAACATAGTGCCACCTTCATGTGCAGTTTTGATCAATCCATTTCAGGAAGGCATAGGAGAAACAAGGAAGTGTAGAAGTCAACAAAGAAAATTAGACCTTTTTTTTTTTTTTTTTGTGTACAATTTGTGATTAAACTGTCATAGCATGAAGGGTATGCCAAAAGTATGTAGATACGAAAATGGTCAAATTCAGGACAGGACAATCCACCAACACTTCCTAAAGAACAGGGTCTAATCCAGCAAGTCTTGATGTGTCTGTTGATTAAAAAAAAAAAAAAAAAATCCTTTTTTTCCCAGTTCTGAATTTTACAGAAGTCTGTTCTTCGCCCCTTTTGGGGACAGATCACAGGGCTTGGAAAACTTCTGTCTAATATGGGCTTCTTGTTTAATGCTAGGCTTCAGTTTCAGTCAGACTTTTAGAACTGTAATGAATTGTGTTTGCTGTCAGGACATAACTTTAACACCTATCTGATGACTGTAGCCATCAGTAAGTGAAACCCAGTGTAGTCAAAATCCATGGGAATAAATGGGAGAATCTTAAAATTTACTTTATTTGAGCTAACGTGTTGAACCGTTGAGCAGTTAAGGACAGAAATGCTCCCTTTTAGTCTGAAGTTGCTTTTAAAACTTGAGGAGCCTCCTGAGTGTCTGAACTAGATTTTTACTTCAACTTTTTAAATATTAAAGTTAGTGTTGCCCTTGCTGATTTCTATTCTGTGACAAAGGAGGCAGACCTGCCTCCTTTTTTCCTGACAGAAAAGGGAACTAGCTTCTTGAAGGAAATCCTGCTACCTTCTAGCCTGCTTCCAGAATAAAGTATTTACAAAGCTTAGGGTTCTGAATTTTATTGTAGTTAAACTTCTGTGATTGTTCTTGCTATACAAAAAGGGGTTATCATCTTGTTACAGTCTTCTCATGTATTTATAGTTATTTAGGAAATCCTTTGGTGTCATCTTTTCCTTCTCATAATTTCCCCATAGCTTTGTTTATCTTATTTGTTTCCTAACAGAGAGCCTCCTATGCATCATCATTGGTATTTTTTATTACAGATCTGCCCCTAAATGAGAACATGGGAAAGTAGCTCTGAGTTCCTATGCTTTCTTCTGTGTAATTCTACACCCAGCAAAAATCTGGAGGTCCCAATAATAAGTCTCAAGAGAAAAAGGCATCTACTGATGCTAGCTTTTTGTGTGGTACTGATGTACAAGAAGGTGCGTTTAATGCAAAATGCTCAGTGTTCTTGTTCTCTAGTTGGGTCTTAGTGCCAAGCTACTCCAAAGCAAAAAGGAAGAAAGGTGTTTTGAACAGTGACTTTGTGATTTCTTCTCTCAGTGCTAGATGCTTTGTCACCACTGAAATGCCAGTAGTATTTCAAGTTGTGATTTTTTTTGTTTTTTTCTAGGCACTCTCTAGGGAGAAAAAAAAGGAAGAGGAAATGAAAAAAACGAAATATGAAATGTCTCGATTCGCAGAAGATAATGCTGCAAGAATTAGAAAGGCAGTAAGTTATGATGTTTAGAAGGAATGGAAAGTTTTTTTGGTTTTCCTCACCATGAAAAGCTGTAGGTGGTGCATGATCATGAGCAGTTTTCTTATAAGTGTTTGGGTAATACAGATAGCAAGGCAGCATGCCGACACTACTGTACTTTTCAGGTTTGTTATCTAGACATAAATTCTTCCAAACTAAATGATATTCTGAAATTTCTCAGGAAATAAGTGTTGATGTTTGTGCAGACAGTGGTGTAGAGAAGGCTGCATTGTGAAGATGTAAAGAATGGCACTTTATTTCAGAGACTGTGTTCAGTGGCACGTCAACACACTTGCATTGCTATCCAAGTTACTTAATTAATGACACATGGCCTCATTTGAGAAGTTGCTGATGGATGCTTGCCATAGGACCTGTTGAAAGTTATGCTGCCAGTTTTGTGGCATCTCAGTACTTAAAAATATTCCCCTATTTAGGCAAGTAAGATTCTTCTACCCAGTAAAGCTAACAACCAGAAGTCTCAATGTCACAAACTAGAATTTGGTAGAGAAATGTCTAAAAAAGATGTTGTAGTCTCTTTATGATTTTTGTTGTTATAAGCAGCTGAAATATTGAAGCTCTTCTGATGAAAGACTAGTCATAAAATTAATTTTCTCTATGTTGCATCCTGTCTGCAGTTAAAATGCTGACTAATCTACCTGGAAGTTCTCAGTAATATACCTGCATGTCAGAGAGACTTACTTTATTTTAAGACAAGCTCCAGAGGAAATAAAAGCATGTGTTGGCAATGTCTTTTGTTGCAGGTGAAAAGCACTGTAAAGCAATTATTTCATTTTTTTAAGTTTTCAGTGGTGTAATTAATTTTGACTCCTTTCACTTTTGTCTCTATGATGCAATGTGCCTGTGTACTGTATAGGGATGAAAGGATTATTTTTCTTTCCAATCCTTTAATTTCAAGAGGTGTCAGGAACATACTACCTAAATTTTCAGATCCTATGACGATAAAGTTTGTGCTTTCCATTTATGGTTACCTGAAATGTCAGAAAAATTGCATGGCTTACTTAAAACTTTCATAAGTGGTTCGGAGGAAGTACAAGAGCTAAAGAGCAACTAGGATAACCACTTTAGTTATGACAGTACTTTACTGAATAGAATTTAGAAGCTTAGAAATGTCCTATTTCTTATTTTGAAATTGTCTCAGTAAAAGTGAATCTATCAAAAGCACAGAAAGTAAAATTTTAAACCATGAGTTGTCATGTTTCTCCAGGTATTAACAAGTACTTATTTTATGTGATCTAAAAATGTCTTGTTACACAAATTGCAAATATCTTGCGCCTAATAGCAGCTTTCTTGATAGAATTAGTGTTCTTTCTATAAGGCCTTGTTGTGATGTCTTCCTTTCTGCCATTTTTTTTTTTTTTAACAAGTATGGGTTTATAATAAACATTCTTCTAACATTTGTATAAGATTTGTCAGTTATTGCAATCCAAGATATTTTTATATATATGCAGCACATATAGAATATATATATAAATATGTATATTTATATATATATTAAAAAAACAAGATGGAAAAATATTTCATGGGTTTGTGTGCTACTTCGGCTTTGATCACAGGTAGACATGGCAAAGAAGCAGTATAAGGTGCAGATTTCTCGACTAGAAGAAGAACTTTCAGCTCTTCAGATGGTATGGTGTTGTCTGATGAAAGTATTTTTGATAGCAAAATGTTTGTGATTTCTAGTTTTTGTTGATGAAGTAGAATGCTAAATTCTGGTTAAAATGCAGTCAACTAAAATATGAATAATGGGTAATTGTCTAGGTCTGTGTTTTATTACTGTATATCCTTCATAACTCCAGATATTATATACAGAGTGCCTATCACATTACTTGACAAAAGTGGTTGTGTGCAGTCTCGTAGTAGTTGGTGCAGAGATTCATATTTAGGTATAAAGCGTATTTGGTTTGAAACTTCATTTTTAATGTACAGATTTGCCTTATGCATATACCTGCATATACCCATATATGCCTTATGCGTACCTTACCTTCCCTGAAAATTTGACTGTCTGTGCATAAAATTATGCAGTTCTGCAGATCCACCCATTTCTTTGTGTTCTTGATGTAGGTTTAGTTCACAAGCATCAAGTCAGTGAGTTTCTGTGCTCTAGAAAATATTTCCCATGTGATGGCATTTCTTAGGTATTCCTGTTTGTTTCATGGATAAAGCATGGAAAGCTGAGTATCTCTACCATATCATATCTGTAGTTGGGTATGTAGAAATGAAGTATATGAAAGCTGATAAACATGCTAAGAGAAAATCTATGCATTACAGTCATCACATTCTTGAATGAACCAAGCACTTGTAACAAATCGTATGGGAGACAGAAAGAGCTCAGTGCATATGCACAATGTATGGGTTAAATTTCTTTTAAAAAGCTTTCATTTTACATGTCTTGGTCTGTATTATGAATGAGGCTGATCCTATAGAGAAAATAATGAGCAGGTAATTATAATCTAATGCATTCATATCAGCAGAAAGAATTACATTTACAATGGCTGGTTTTAAGCTTTGACACTTCTTGAATTTTTAGAGGATTTTTTTTATTAGATTTATCTTAAAATGACTTTTGAAAAACAGGAATGTGGAGAAAAACAGTGTCAAATTGAACGAGCTGTTAGAGAAAAGAGAGCAGTAGAAGCAGAACTTGAAAAGGTAAGGCAGCTGCATGCTTTTTTACATCACATTTAAGATCACTTTTCAGAAGGAAAAGATACATAATTTTTTCCCATTTCTCATGGCTTGTTTTTCCTTAATTTTCTTACTTGATTCTTGGAGTAGATTTTCTTAATTGTAAATTTTCATGCAGTCATTTTAAGTTCAGGATTTTATGTAATCCAGAAAGCATTTTAAAGCTGTAATACTAAACTGAAAAAGAGGGTTTTTTGGAAAGGATAAAAAGTGAAAGAAGAGATGTTTGACATAATCTGAAAGAATGTTGGCACATATTCCAATTAAGCTTAATAGACAGAAAAATTAATGGATGCCAGACCTTTGGAAACTTCTTTTCCCAAGTAGCAGCAATAATAAATTTTGTTCAAAACTTAAATTCAGTTTTGTTTTAAGTGACTGGAAAGTAAGATGCAATGAGGAATAAATAGCCTTCTTGTCAGTATCATAGAATCATAGAATAGTCAGGGTTGGAAAGGACCTTAAGATCATCTAGGTCCAACCCCCTGCCCCTCTAGACCATGTCGCCCAAGGCTCTGACCAGCCTGGCCTCAAACACTGCCAGGGAAGGAGCATTTGCCACTTCTTTGGGCAACCTTTTCAGTGCCTCACCACCTGCACAGTTAAGAATTTCTTCCTTTTATTCAACCTGAACTTCCCCTGTTTAAGTTTGAACCTCTTATCCTATCACTACAATACTATGCTGTACCACAGTATTACACTGCCAGTCACCAGTGCAAGGTAAAAATGATGTTACATATAAGCTTATTCTTCAGATTTACAGGGAAGACGAAGGATATGAATCTGACAACAGAAAACTAGAGCAGCTGCATCAGAAGTACTTACGTGCAGAGACTACAATAGATGACCTTCAGCTCACTCTTCAGACAACACAAAATAAACTGAAACAGCTGGAAATGAAGTAAGTAACAGATGTAACAGAAATCAGCATGGAAAACAATGGAAATTATGTCTTGAGTATTTTAAGTGTTATTATGTGTTAGGTTTTTGTTACATCTTTTTAACCAGTGACAGGAATAGTATCCAGATACCACAATTCTGAAGCAAGGGCAATTATGAATCGCTGTAAAAGAATTAAAGGTGATAATGTTCTATAGAATGAAAGATCTTTATGAGATAAGAATTGTAAGCAATTTTTTTACACACACTCCCCCCCCCAAAATAAAAAAGAAAATAGTATATTATTTGGACTCTCACTGTTTTTAAATACTGTTTGTAGGAAAAGTATGAAATACTCAGGAATAACTTATAATAAATTCATCTACAGTGAGGTATCTCCTAGTACATGCAGAACACTGTTTACATAGCATACTGAGTTTCAGGTATGTGTTCAGAGCTAACATTACACATTTTTAGAAGAGGTTGTAGTTTTCAGCATGAAAATACATGATTCTCTAGACGCTTTAGTCATTTCTGTACTCTGATCATCCTCAATCATAGAATCATAGAATAGTCAAGGTTGGACAGGACCTTTAGATCATCTAGTTCCAGCCCCCCTGCCATGGGCAGGGATGCCTTACTCTAAACCATGTCGCTCAAGGCTCTAATCAGCCTGTCCTTGAACACTGCCAGAGATGGAGCATTTACCACTTCCTTGGGCAACCTGTTCAGTACCTCACCACCCTCACAGTAAAGACCTTCCTCCTTATGTGTAACCTAAGCTTCTGCTGTTTGAACCCATTTCCACTTGTCCTGTCACTACAGTCCCTGTTGAAGAGTCCCTCTCCAGCACCCTTGTAGGCCCCTTTACCAGAGTAATCCTCAGCTGGGAATCAGGAAATGTGGTAAAAATTAAAATCTTTTGTTTGACATCATTTTACTAAGATTGTTACACCATTAGATTGGTTTTATGAATTCCATCAGGATAAAATTCTTTGCTGACCTGTGTATAGTTCTAGCTGTCAACCGTTAAACATGCTGAGCTGATACCAACTTTCAGGAAGAAACAGGAACAGCTGTACTGGATCAGACCTAAGATATGTCCCAGATTTTTTTTTTTTATTTTTTTTTTCCTCTTGTGTGGTGGTTGCTCAATTCTTGAGTTCAAACAAGACATTTCTTCTGTTTCAGCTTTGAGGAGGAGAAATCCAGTTCCCAGGAAGTTGTCTGTAATTTGCAAAGCACTTTGAAATCAGAAAGAGAAAAGAGTGTCTCTATCAGTGAACAAAGTCTAAAGCTTCAGCAAGAGAATGAACAGTTGCAAAAAGAAATGGAGGACTTGAGAAAACAGGTCATAGAGGCTCAACGAAAAGCTAACATAAAGGTATGGTTTATATGTTAGTTTTACTTTAACCTGACTGATAATTACTTGATAAGGCAGCAGTTCTAAGAGAAAATCATTTAAAGTTTACCTTAAGGAAGAAAGTTTCAAGAATGCTTCCTGGTTTCTGCTTAAAATCAATTTAATTGTAGCATTGTTTCCTCAGAATCTATTAGGTAACTCAATCTCTGCCAATTAAATTTTGGTTTAATATGTATAAGAAGATCCCTGTCGTGGTTTAACCCCAGCCAGACAGCTTGTTCACCCACTCCCCACCTTCTTGCCCTCCCCCTACTCCTGGAGGGACGGAGAGGAGAATCAGAAAGAATGCAACTCCCAGGGGTTGAGATAAGAACAGTTTAGTAACTAAGGTGTAACACAAATCACTACTGCTGCCACCAATAATAGTAATGATAAAGGAAATAACAAGGGAAGAGAATACAAGACCTCATCACCAGGTGGCCGATAACTCACCCCCCCCAGCACCAAGCACCAACCGATACCTCCTCCAACCCTGCAGTCCACTTAGCCCTCTCCGTTACCTGCTGGGCATGACGTGCTGTGGTATGGAATACCTCTTTGGTCAGTTTGGGTCAGGTGTCCTGTCTCTGCTTCCTCCCGCTTCCCTCCTCCCTGGCAGAGCATGAGGCTCACAGAGTCCTTGGCCAAACCAAAACATCATTTTTTCCAGCTCTGTTCCCAGCCCAAAAGTCAAAACACAGCACTGCACCAGCTACCAAGAAAAACGACTGCCACTGCTAAACCCAGGACATTATCCACCCCTTATTCCATACCATTCACATCATGCTCAGATCCCACATTTTCAATATACCATCACTCTGATCTCAGTGCACTTCTATCTTAGTGCCTGGACTAGTCCCTATAAAGCTGCTGAGTCCATCTGGTCCATGATGTCAGGCTCCATCTCTTGTAACGGTCTTTCAGAGCAGGAGAGGCTGTGTGCAGTGTTCACACACATGAATAACCTGGGCAATATTATCCATTGCTAAGTCCACCCCTCGATCATGAGTCCATCTCTATGTTGCATCTCTGCTCTGATGACCTTAAGGGTCATGGGCCCACCAGGCTCAAAATAATTCACTGTCCCCTTCAGCAGTTTCTGCAGCTTGTAGCTGGGGACTCCACACAGCTGCCTTCCATCTCCAGCGCTTCCAAAGCACTGGAGGGGCCCAGTGGACTAGATACTTGCCCATACTGTCCCACACACCCAGCCACTCATGGCTGTCCGGCCTTTGGGGAAACCTCTTGGTCCTCCCATATCGTCGTCTAACCCCAGACAAGACCCAAACCCGACTCTGCTTAACTTTTGAGATCAGACAAAATGGTGGTGGGTAAAACACACTCTGTGTGTATGCCAACATGCTGATCCCCATCACAGTCAGCAGGCAGGTCCCAAGGATACCCAAAGGCCATTCAAAACCTTCAGAACTCTCAAACAATGCTGCTGTACTTGTCACTGGGGCTGGTGTAGCTGCTGTGCTTGCCGGCTCTCCCACCACCAGCTTCTCCTTTTCTGAGTCCAGATCTTCCTCCTCTGCCTTGCTGGGAAATGCTGCGGGGTCTCCTGCATCCTCCTGGGGCTTGGCGGGCGGCTTCCGGGGAATGCTCTCGGCCGTCATGGGGCTGGGCTTGGCCACGGGGCTCGGCTTCTCCACGGGCCTTGGCTTTTGTGGGGTTGGGTGTTGTTGGTTGTTGGTGGGGTTGGGTTTGGTTGGTGGGGGGGGGGGGGGTGGGGGGGGGGGGGTGGTGTTTGTGTGTGGGGTGGGTTGTTTTTTTTGTTTTGGGGGGGGGGGGTGGTGTTGGGTTGGTGGTTTGTTGGTTTCTACTGCTACCACCAATAGTAGTAATGATAAGGAAATAACAAGGGAAGAGATACAACACCCCATCACCAGGGAGTAACTTGCCCGCCCGCAGACCGATACCTCCTCAACCCTGCAGCCCGCCTTCCGGGTACTCCCAGTTCCTCCTGGGCATGACGTGCTGTGGTATGGAATACTCTTTGGTCAGTTTGGGTCAGGTGTCCTGTCCTGTTCCTCCGGCTTCCCTCCTCCCTGGCAGAGCATGAGGCTCACAGTGGCCAAACAAAACATCATTTTTTTCAGCTTGTTCCCAGCGAAGTCAAAACACAGCCTGCACCAGCTACCAAGAAAAACGACTGCCACTGCTAAACCCAGGACAATCCCAAATGTACTTTGTTTAAGATGATAAGATTAAATAATATAATAATTAAATAATAACCCTTCAAGTGATTTCATTTATATCAATTCCAGATCTTCATTTATCTGTCTGTAATGTGTTACAAATCTCTGTATAACTTTCAGTGTAGAGTGTTCCTCTAGTTCTATGTCCACCATGTTGTCAGTGCAGTGTGCAGCTAATAAATAATTTAATACCGTGGTTGTCAAACATTGACCCTGTATTTTCTGAACAGAGAACATTCTTCTTTACGAATAGTTGCAAACAAGATAATAAGCTGAAAGATTTTTCTTTTTGAATGTGTTCCATTAAATGTACCTGAACAGACTGATGGTGCTAGAATGAATTAATAGTAACCTCAGCAGACTCATTGTACCTTTAGCTTCTAGAGCAAATAACAGCTTCAAACCTTGGTGTGCTTTCTAGTCATACAAAGCTGGTACTTTCCCCTCTGCTCTTAACTGCATAAGCGTAAAGATATTGCAGAGGGATGTAAGAACCTGCAGCAATTAAGAAGACTTCGGTAAGCAGTTTTACAAGTTATGAGTGGGGATCATCTCAAGTCTGGTTTCCACTTTGCACCACAAGATAAAGGAAGCAGACAAATTAAATAGGAAATCTTGCTACAGCTCCAGAACCCTTTAGTCAAATGCAGTTTAAAAGCAAAGAATCAGTCTTGTAATAGTTATAGTTTTAACTTGTGGCAGTTATAAAACATATACCAGATCTTTGTCTTTCTCTTTTTATAATCAAGACAGGCTTCCATTATAGTCATAGACAAGATTTATTGTTTTCATTTTCCTGTGACATACAAGGATTTTAGATCCAGTTAAGAAATTCCTGATACATTTTAGCTAGATGAAAAAGAAAGAATGCGTTTCTTTGAAGAAAACTCAAGAGAGAAGGTTAAAGATTGTTTCCCAAATAAGCATACACAGCTCATTATCATTCATTGTCAGTTATAGTATTTGCTTAAATTGGCCTTGGGAGCTTATATGCCTTTGAGCATATAATTACATGTTTAATTATTCTGTTACATGCTTTCAACAAATGTTTATAAATTGAACTTAAGTATTGGGAGGAAAAAAGTTAGAGACTTGATTGTACCCGAATTGTATTTTTTCTAGATAAGCACAATGGAACATGAGCATGATGTGAAAAAACATGGATATGAAGCTCGACTTAAGGAAATGGAAGACAGCAATCAGAAGTCTACTGCTGAACTTACGTGTCTGTTATTAGCCCAGAAAAAAGCAACAAATCAATGGAAAGAAGAAGCAAACAAAATTACTGAAACTACAGAAGCCAGGATCAGAAAGCTAGAGTCAGTGCAATTTTGTTCCTTATCTGGAAGTGGTTGGCATAGTAATGCGCTTTATAAGTGAAGGTTTTTCAGGAGATCATAAACTTCCAAAAAAAGTCATATATGGGTATACTGGGGTGGTAGTTTACATAAAAAAAGCATTTTATATTGCGTTTCACCAGAATTTTGCAGTAAGTGCCGCTCTCATAAGCATTGAGTCAGTGTCCTGTTTGTTACTGTAGGTGTTTCCTATTTTTTTGGCTTGAAGTCATGATCTCTTCCTGGTTTTCACTTCTATCCTCATTACTTTCTTTTTCCAGGTGAAGGTGTCTGAAACCTTTTGGCTTCTTTATGAACTTCCCAGCAACAGCAGCTAACTTTCACATATTCTGTGCTGCTCTTTTGTCATCTTTTAAGTCTGCAGTGTGTTGCTTTGTGAGGTGTAATCCATATGCATAAAGGAGGCATTAAATAATAATTCTAAGTACTGAAGCAACATCAGGGAGTGTTAGGTGATTTTTTTCAATTAAAAATTAAAAAAGGAAGAAGACATAAGAAGGAAAAGCAAATTTTGCAACCTGTAGCTGCAGCGTGATGATTTTCTTATTTCTTTTAATAATACAAGAATGTAGTAGATCAGAGAAAAACCTGTAGATAATGTTGAAAAATAAAATGATCCTTTTAGGCTTCACTGAAAATTATTCTGTGCTTTCTTGGATCTCTAGGTCACAGTTCAAATCAATCACAATCATTGCCTGTAAGACTGAACTTGAAATCAAAAAATAAGGCTTGGCAATGCATTGAATACTTGTAGACTAAATTCCACCATTTTCTTCATAAAAAATACGTTGCAGTCTTCATTTATGAGAAGAGGTTTCTTCTCTCTAAGCGTCTTGAGATGCTGTACACTTTTAGAAGGATTTATTGGTAGTAGACCTCACTCTCACCTTGCAAAAGGGCAAGGAACCAATTTTGCTTCAACATACTTGTGCTGAAAGTCAACCTTGAAGGTAACTAAGAAGGTCAGAGCTTCTTGCAACATAGATACTCATTCCAAAGAAAAATGTTGCTCTTGGCAGCCAGGCTAACACCTCCTGACTAGTGTTTATTGTTTATTCCTGCAAAATATCTGGTCTGGTAGAGTATGAAACAAAGCTGTTCTTGCTTTTGGTTGCATCCATTTTAGATGTACTTTGAGTTCTAATAACATTTACTGAAGTGAACTGAGATAGCAAATATTTACAATTATAAAATAGTTATTTAAATGAGTGATTGCTGTTAAAGGTTGTAAAAAAAGTAGTGTAGCACTCTTATTTAAAGATGGGTTGCCCCAAGGCTTTTCTACTGAATTTAGGCTGTTTCTCTCTCTAAGAGTGCATATATGTAAAAAAATCTAGAACTGGTTATATGTGTTTATGAACACATATAGAAATTATTACTGTCAGATTAATTTTGGGGGAATTTTGTATTTTAAATCAAGGTGAATTTAATACTTCTTAAAGACCTATGTGGGGTTTGACTGGGATGGAGTTCATTTTCTTTATAGCAACCTCTGTAGTGCATGCCATGGTTTAGGTCTGTGACCAAAGTAGTGTCAATAACAGTGATGTTTTAGCTGCGGCTGAACAGTCCTAATACAGGGTCAAGCCCTTTTCTGTTTCTCACTGTGCTCCCCCAGGAAGGAGAGTAGTGGTAGGCAAGATGCTGGGAGGGGACATAGTGAGATAGCTGACCCCAGCTGACCAAAGTGATATCCCACACCATATGATGTCATGTTCACCAGTAAAACTGGGTGGAAGTGCTTCCAAGGTAGCTGTTGTGTTCACACTGGCTTGCTATTGCTCTGCTGGTGAGGAGTGATTGCTTTTGCGTCCTTTTTTTTTCCCCTTTACTTACTGTCATTCTCATGGCCCATGAGTAATTTTCTCACAGGTACCATTCCAGTTCTGTCCCCCTGTCCTCTGGTGGGGGAGAGAGTGAGTGAGGGGGTGAGGGCTCACCTGCCATCTGGGTCAATTCACCTCAATACCAAAGGACAGAAATGTGGATTCGGAGACAGAACTGCATATTAACATTTAATTTTAGTTGAATTGGTTTGGTTACTTGCTGTGTTTCAACAGGCTTATATTTTAATAGCTGTATCTCTGCAAGGGTCTGAGATTGAACCACCAGTTCAGTTCTGACTAGGAATAATAAGTAGAATGAAGTGAGCTTCTGAGACACAAAAAATAATCTTTCACATTCGTTTAAGGGTTTAAATGGAAAACAGTAAGGAGAGAAGTACAGAAATCCTATAAATTTAGTAAATTTCTCAGGGTAATTTTTTTTCATAACACAAAAAGAGCTTTTAAATCTTGGTGAATATTTTAACTACTACATATAGTTCATGAATTAGTAACTGACACATACTTGAGTTTCCATTTCTTTTTCTCCCCCTCTATCTGGAACGTTATTGAGGTTATCTAAATAACCAAATCAGAATTAGATTTAATGTTGAATAAGTTATTTTGATCTTCAGTGTCACTTCCTCACAAATTTGTGTGAATTTGACGAGATACATGCCATCCACATTTTTGGTGCTGATTTACAGGTTGTAAAGCTTCCAGTTGTGAAGTTGTAAGCTCTCAGATCACTGTCATTTTGAATGTCCTAAAACTGCAAAGGATGTAGGTGATCTGCCTTTGACAGCCGTGGTAAAAAAAATTAAAAAAAAATCAGTACTGACTGTTTGCAGCTTATTTTCTTGTCATTGGCAAGAATTCACTTTTTAAATAATTGAGAAATACATGCACATACTTTTAAAGGCTCTTGCTTTCACTCACGTACTGTAATCTAGAAAATTTATTCCTATGGCTATATCTGGGAGGAAGAGACTGTGTAGGACTGTTCTTGTTACCTTTACAGAATCATGTATAAAGCAGTATAGTTCTTCAGACTTCAGCTGAGTAAATGAGAGCATAGAGAGAAACTGAAATCAGCAAAACCAGAGGAGCATTTAGGAAATTTTTACATTGAAAGGAAACAAACTTCAGTAGCAAAAGAATACAGGATAGATTGAGAAGGGGTGAGAGAGTTCTGACAACACTATTTAAGCAAAAAACAGGGTAATTGCATCAGCCAGCATTTACTAAAAGAAAATGTAAAAGACTCTATGCAGGTTTAAAAATAAGGGCAAATCATTCATTCTGTAAAGTCCACTTTGACTCATCTGTACGTAAGCAGGTTAAACAACTAAACAGAAAAGAAGTTGTAATACGGGTGGTAATAGATGGTTAATCCTTTTGAATTGGCATATTAGTATTTTTCGTATATCTCTCTGTTTTAATCCTGAGAATGAAGGTAAGAACTGGGGCAATTGAGAGAGGATTTTGCAGGTAACCACTGGTTATACATTAAGCCCTTACCAAACTCTTCACCTGTAGCCAACACCAAGAGCATTTTTTGTTGAACATAATTCTGGTTGTACCAGGGATCAGAACCAGATTCACATGGATAAGCCAAGTCTTGTATTCAATCAGATAAGTGAATTATCCACAAAATGCTCTTGGGTGGAGTAGATCTGGAAAACTGCAGATGGGAAAAAGGTAGATCCTTGAAACTTGAAAACTTTACAGGAAATTGACAGTTCTGTCAACTGCTACGAATATTACTTTGGTCTGTTAGACCTGTGGGTGGTTGCTCAACTAACGTACATTTTAGCCTGAGTAGGAGTAGTAATAGGTATACAGAAGTCTGTTCTCTTTTTAGAAATAGAAACTAAATCTACAAAACAAACAGTACCCAAGAGAATTTATAAATGTAGGTTTAAATGAGAAAGAGACTAAGTAGAAGTTAATTCCATGTAACAAAGCATTTGAGGAGCTTCTGAAATCTTAACTCTTTAATAAAAAAGTAATAAAATTGGGTACTAGTACGTGGTATGAATCAGTCAGTAAAGTAACAATTTTATCCATGTGCCACTGTTCCCTAGCAATAAGATACAACTATTTTTGGGGGGGGAAATTCAAAATATTTCTTGTAACATGAATCCATTACGTTTGAACCAACTATACTGAACGGCTTTGGGGTTCTTTTTATTTTCACTTAAATTATGATTGTCAGTACTTAAAAAAAGGGAATCCTTGCCATACTGCATCTTTTGCTTAGCTTAAGTCATCTTTGCAGCTATTTAGGGTGTTTTTGTTCCAGTTTCTGCTTGTGAAACATTTCTGTGTCACATTTAGTCCCTGACTCAGCAGTAGCCGTGTGTGGGTTTTGGAGTTCTCAGTTTTATCTCTTCCATAATTGAAAAGAATTTGCCTCTGAAGGATGACCTTTTTTGGTGCCTGTGCATGAAGTGCTGGCCAGCACTGCCTTCTCCTCGTCCCAACATCCTGTACAGTACACTGAGTTGCACAGCATCTTGAGATGAAGTTTCTTCCATTTCTAAAACATTATTCTTGGCTATACTTCTGTAATGTTTGGCAGCTATAGCTGCTTATTTCAAGATGCTCGTTTAAAGCAAAAAAATAACAGGATGAGAGACAGCTGCAGGTACTGGCAGTATACAAAATTCGTAATTACTAAGAGTAACTGAAGCATAGTATAATTCAACTGAAAAAACAGCTGGCACATGTCATATATGTTATATGAAAGCTTTGCAGAACGTGCTTGATACAGCTGGCGGATTTATCACCTGTCTGCCAAAATGCTAAAGCTTACCTTTTGTTTCCTACTCACATAATAAAGACAATATGGAGTAGGGCCTGATGTGATTATTCAGCAGTTGGGGTTACTGCTCAGTTTTAAAGTCTCATGACTGGGGGAGGGTTAACAATCAGAATGAATCAACTGGCTCAGTAGCCATCACACTTCCTTACGTGGACACGGTTAAACTGGTTTCTTTTATGTGTTCAGTGTGAGGCAGGCAGGCAGGCCACCTTCAATAATGTCCATACTGAAGTCTACTTATAGGACATTAATTAACATGTTGTTCTAAATATTGGATGCACTCTGTTAACATACCTTATATTTACAATATATTTGGTAATGTTCTTGCAAAATAAGATTCAGTAAAGAAAAAGTAAAGTGTCAAATGCTCTTGACAAAGTCGTGTTGGGTACATCCTATTCCTCTGGCATTATAGTTTTGAATCACATCATAAAACAGTTCTAACTGTGTACTGCTTTTGAAATCAATGTTTTAAGAGGAATGTTGTAATTAAAAATACACCATAAGCCCTAAACTGCAAGAAAGTAACATATGAAATTATATTCCAATAACTGATGCACTAATGTTTGTTAATCACCATCTTTACTTTTGATTAATAGAAGAGAGCTAAGTCAACAAAAAATTTGTAACCAGGAGCTCATTTCTCAACTGGAAGTTGCAAATGAAAAGGCAACCGAGGTAAGATTGACTGATATGACAACTACTTTCAGTTGCAAGCTGGTGCATGTACATTAGGATAAATAACAGAAACCTATTGAGGTGAGGTATGTTGATGGCTTGTTAAAAACTAAGGATTTTTTGACAGAAGTAGTCATAACAGGAAAACCCCACTGTTTCTGCTGACATGTTGAAATGGCAGGGCAAATGACCTTCACTCTCAAATTACAAGGAAAGATAAAGAGAGATCATCTTTCAAGGTTCATAATCTGGCAATTTTAGACAGTACAGGAAATATCTCCAAAGTCACTTGTGCCTGTCTATGCACACATACCTCTACAAAGGAGAAGGCACCGTTTTGTGGATAATGTAGTATATGAAGAGATACCACATTCTCAGCATACTATGTGTATAGGAGAATTTACACTGTATATGCTTATATGTATGTAGCAGTATCCATTAAAGATTAATGGCAAGGTTGTTTTGGAATTGCATTGTTCAATAAATAATGGCCACTTTAGAAAACAGCTATCCTGTCAGCCTCATAAATCCAGGATAACATGTAGTTCTAATCAGGGTAAGTCCTCCAGTGTTGTTTTTTGTAATGCTAGATTATTTAGAGAAGAAAAATGGGGCTGATGCAAGGATAGATTTTTGTAAGTAAAATATAGTTCTGAAAGACTTTATACAGACCCTTTGCTGAAGAGAACAGATCTGTAGCAAGTTTATTATCTCGTTCATATTACCTAGTGTAGTCTTTGTCCGTTTGAGTATAGTTGAAGTATAGCTAAATAAAACACATTTTAAGATACTGTAAACTAAATTACCTGGATTAAAATGTCAGCTTTTATGCATCTTACTTCAAGATGATGGAGTGAGTAAAACTTCCTCTGCAGATCACTATGTTTAGAAAAGTCATAGGATATGATACTTGGGCCAGAAATTCTTTATATAATGTGTCAGCTGTATGTCTTAAGTCTTGTAAGTGGTGAACAGTTCTACTTATGAGGTTACTCTTGTTCTAAGCTTTTTCACTGCAGTATGTATGGATCCCATAAAAAGAACTTTGCATTTGTAATGAGATATTTCAATTCCACAGGATAAAAAATTAATGAGGGAATATCGAGAACACATCAATCGGCTTCAAAGGCGTCTAAACCAGGCAGAACAGAGGGCAGCTACAGCAACTCAAAAGGTACAGAACTAACAAACAAACACCATGTTACCTAAGTTCATTTAAATCTTCCCACTGAATATTACAAAAATGACCACTTTGTATTATTCCTGAAGCAGACGTGATCATTTATGTGCATTCTTACTAATACAGTTTTAACAACAAGCTTGTGTTTTGGGTGCATCATGACAAAACTGATGCATATTCAATTAAGTGCCACCTTCTGACAGGATGCTTAAGTGACAGTATAATTTGTTTATGGAAACAAATTTGATGCAAATTAAGCTTTTGTGGTTCAAAATGTGTGAATGAAGGTGTATGATCATTTCCATCTTCAGAAATGGGAACAAATTAACAAAGAGGAATAAAACCTCTGACAAATAACCCAGCTCCTGCTTACGTCAAGCAAGGCTTACTTACTGCAGCAGTCACAAATGATGGTTTCACGTGCTAAAGAGCAAATGTTGCACTGATCCCTACACTTCTCTCTTGGGAGTCTGATATAAAGCAAAGCATGCCTTGGGTTGATGGCTACAGAACTGCCTTTATAAAAATTGGGAGGCAGCATAGCTGTTTTGTGGGAATTTTCTGCTTTTTTCAGCCAGATAAGTTCTATGGTCTAATTAATTGTGTGGCTGCACAAAGAGTGCATGGAAACAGTTTGAAATAGTTGCAGGTTGACAAGTTCAGTGTTCATCAAATTGCAGCCTTGAGTACCTTCTACATCATGTAAACTTCAGAATTATCTTGTCTGTGCACCTGCATTGCTATTAGTAGTCTCCAGTAGCTGTGGCCCCAAAGATTGTTGGAGGAGTACACCTCACTGCATTCAGCATCAGCTACCTACAGTAACTGCAAGAGATCTTGCAATGTCAAAAATACTAAAAATTGTGCAGACCGGATAGAAAAAACTTGTTCCTTTTCTAGGCCAGGAGAAGAAAGGGGATGTTCTATGTATCTCACTGCCATAGTGAACATGCCTAGTCCATGTTTCAGTAATTCTGAAAACTTCAGACAAGACATGTCTGTTAGGGCTGTTTATATGCCCACATCCTCCTTGTGGCACCACTGTGATCACTTAATGAGCTGAATTGTTGCTGCCTTCTTTTTTCAGTTCTCTTACAACTCTGTTCCAGCTTTGAGCAATACTGGTCAGTATTTCCAGACATTAGGGATATTGGAAGGAAAAGTGTTCCTCTCCTCAGAGAGAAACTTTGGTCTTTAATTATCTAAACCTAATACTACTATAATTCTGTATTTCCTCTGCTGGACATTTGGTAGGTTTTTCCACATTCAGCATTCTTTTTCCATGCTATTCAAGCTATACTTGAAGCAAATCCCACAAGGGGGTTGTACACTGGGCTCACTTATTTGCCAAGCAAACTTGTAACTCAGGTTGGTCTCCTATTAAGTAAAGGTGGTCTTCCTGCCTCCTGGTTTGTTGTTTGTTTTGTTTTGTTTACAATGACTTAGGAAACTCATTTGCAAATTACAGCCTTTTAAGGGAAGGAAATCCCATGTGTGCTGCAGACAGAATACACTTGGTAGATCCGAATTGTCTAGTTAGGACAAAAGGCAAATTTTCCCTAACAGCAGCGAGTATCTGCCAAGCTGTCATAACTTAAGCTGCTTTTACTGGCTGTAGATGTTCTCTGTCATGACAAGGTCAGCTGGTGATATAGGAAGAGATCTTGCTGTTCCTGAAAACCTTGATAATTAACTATTCCTTAGCAGTCTCCTTCTGAAAGGTAACAAAGAGATTTGTAAGATGTTTAGCAGCCAAATTGTTGTCTGGATCTTGCTACCAGTCTTCAGAACTGCCTTGCCCTCTTCAGGCTTGGCAGAGGTTACTGCTGCCTGCTGTCAGGCAAGGCTTCTCTGTAATGACGGAAAAGCTTCTGTGCCAAGCTCCTTCCTCTTCCCCTGAACCCACCCCAGAAAAGACATACCAGCACTGTTCTCACTAAAGCCTGGGAAAAGAGGTCTCCAGGAGTACAGCTAAAAGCATGTCCACTCTTTTGGATCTGAAGAAAGAAGATGTTTGTTCTCTTTTAGCTCTCATAAGACTAAACTGTCATGTGTGTACTTCCTGAGATTCAGAGTGGCAGATCCTCTCTGTATTCTGAACCTGTCAGTTGAGGACTACTTTCTGACTTAATTGCATATTCTCATTACAGTATCCAGCTTACCTGTAAAATTAAATCCATTGTAGGCTAGAGCTGGACTATTAGGGAGTCTAGAAATTAAATTTTTATTGTGGTTAGTTCAGTGACTACAAATCTTAGCTTATTATTAATAGTAATCCTAGTAATTATTATATATATGTAACAGTATTATATATATAATCTTAGCTTATTAGTAATAGTAATCATTAATAATAATAATTCAGTAAGAAACATACAGGCTAATGTTTGCACAGGTTTAAACTTTGTGTATTCTATGTAGATGTATTGAAAAGTCTACTTTTCCTAATCTTTGATCATCTTGAATTCTTTGGGATCTCAAATAAAACAAAAGCAGTAGTCATCTATGGAGTGCGTTGTGAATTCTGCTACTTTCCCCAAATGCCCACTTACCTGTACTTGTTCCCTCTCCTTCATGACACCTTCTGTATTGAAGATATATTGATACCTTGATCTTAAGAAAAACTTACATACAAAACTATCTGGTTGGTTGTAGTTACAGGTCAGCCTCATAACAACACAGAATAAAAATGCTGCTCCCCTGAAGGGGTTGGAAGATATGTAAACACCTGCATTGTTTCTTCACACCATGTTGGAGGTAAGAAGATCGATGGAGAAACTTCATATTGAAGCACTGAAGTCATCATAGAACAATTACGGTTGGAAGAGACCTTAAAAGCTATCTTGTTCTAACTGTGCCACGGGCAGGGTCACCTTCCACTAGACCAGGTTGCTCCAAGCCCCATTCAAACTGGCCTTGAACACCGCCAGGAACGGGGCAGCCACAGCTTCTGTGGGCAACCTGTGCCAGGGCCTTATCACCCTCATAGTGAAGATTTTTTTTCATAATATCTAATCTACATCTGCCCTCTTTCAGTTTAAATTCATTTCCCGGCCTCTCTCTGCTCCACAGGAAAGCTTGAGGTACCTTCTGCAACCTGAGATCTGCATTGCAGCTGCTCTGAGTGAAGGCATAGCACAGACAGTAGAGACCCTTCACTGGAGATGTGACCTTTGCTTTCCAACAAGTGCCCACCCACCATTCTGCCCTGAGGGTGAGACAGGACATGTGCCTCAACTTGGGCGGGAGGCCTGTGGAATGTCCCTCCTTCAAAGAGGTGTCCAAATGCATAGCAAGGCTTATAAAACTTAGATTTTAAGTTCTAATGTTTAAATTATTAGATCTAAATCTAAACCATTTTTAATGTTTTATCTAAATGTTTAAATAAACATTTCCTAGTTTATTTAGGTAAGGGGGTGGATCAAGATACTCTATCCGTAGGCATAAAGATTGGAAGACCACAAAATGTCATTTAAAGGACTTAAATGTGGCTCCGAAATGCCTCCCTTACCTTCCAGTGTTAAGATTTTGGTTCAGTTTGGTTTTATGCCTCTTTGAAAAAGTTTGTAAATAAAATGCTGTTCAGACCATATCTTTCTTCAGTTGTGCCTTTTCTTGCTAATTACTATTTTACAGTTGTTCCTTGTTTGTCTGTTGGTCTGCTCTCCTTGTCTGTGTGTCTGTCTGGGAACTTGAGTGCTCTGTTACTTCAGTTAGCACAAAGCTGGTGAAGTCATCCAGCTTCTGTGCATCCTGAAACAGTGTATTTAAATTCTAGAAATGCCAGTATGTGGTAATCCTCCACCGCATGTTTTTCTTTGGTAGTTAGAATCATAGAATCATACAATAGTTAGGGTTGGAAAGGACCTTAAGATCAAGTTCCAACCCCCTGCCATGGGCAGGGACACCTCGCTCTAAACCATATCACCCAAGGCCTCGTCCAACCTGGCCTTGAACACTGCCAGGGATGGAGCATTCACAACCTCCCTGGGCAACCTATTCCAGTGCCTCACCACACTAACAGGAAAGAATTTCCTCTTTATATCCAATCTAAACTTCCCCTGTTTAAGTTTTAACCCATTACCCCTTGTCCTGTCACTACAGTCCCTAATGAAGAGTCCCTCCCCAGCATCCCTATAGCCCCCCTTTGGATACTGGAAGGCTGCTATGAGGTCTCCATGCAGCCTTCTCTTCTCCAGGCTGAACAGCCCCAACTTTCTCAGCCTGTCTTCATATGGGAGGTGCTCCATTCCCCTGATCATCCTTGTGGCCCTCCTCTGGACTTGTTCCAACAGTTCCATGTCTTTTTTATGTTGAGGACACCAGAACTGCACACAGTGCTCCAGGTGAGGTCTCACGAGAGCAGAATAAAGGGGCAGGATCACCTCCTTAGTTGAGAAGCTTCATAAATAATATTCTAAAATGAGAGCTGAACTCTGTTTTCTCTTTCAGCATATATTATAAATATTTTATAGGTGCTGATTTTGAAGTAATGTAGTTTCTTGTTCTTTCCTTTTAAACGTGAAGAGTGTAATTCTGGTTTGGGACTTCTAATTCAGTTGGTGGATAATGATTACCCAGTGCTTCACAAAAGCTGTTCTGTTGGACTAATTCATGCATCTGTCACAGTGGATCTTCACCATTAACATTTTAGAGGACAAACCCAGGTTGTTCATCATGTGGAGGTTAGAGTTGGTGCCACCTCCTGAAAACCTGCTGTTCCAGTAGAGCCTGCAAAATGGATGCAACCTCAATTTCTGCTTTCCACAGAGAAAGTTAATTTGTCCTGCAGTTGTACACACTTCTTTCCTAGTGCTTTCTCAGTTTGGTACCTGTACCTGTATGAACTGCAATCTGTAATTCTGCTTAAAGACTTCCAAGATTTTTCAAAGCAACATGGACACATTGTCTGGAAACTCCAAATGTCTGTTGCAGTGAGACTGTCATCAGTCAACCGTCTGTGTGATAGAGAGGGAGGTAAGTACCAACCACCTTTTTTCCCATTTGCATAATGCACATCTGAAATCAAGACAGCCCACCTGGAAGGTTTTGTGCGAGTTGTTCATCCCATCACCCCTTCAATAGAGGCTCTAGCTGGGAAGTGAAACCCAGCTCGAAATGGCAGGTAAGTTTTTGAGCAACATTATTTGTGTGTTTGTTCCTTGAAGCACAAAAGGAATCTGATTCCCTTTCAGTTACGGGTGTATTCGTTTCAACTTGTGGTCTAGTTTTTGTGTAACGGTTACTTGCCAAAATACAAACTGCAGTGATGACACAAGCACGCAATAGTCAAGGTAAGGGGCAGCAGAATTATGGCAGAGGACACAAGAAAGAAAAAGATTGCCCTCCCCTCTGCCTAACCCCTCTAAGAAGCTAAAAACTGACCAGATACTTCTGTCCGAACCACAAAAGGGACTGTGGCCAAGTGAAGCTGGTCATCCAGCCACCACCTCTCACTTCTGTTTAGCTTCTAGAGGAGGCTGCTGGCATATGGCTCACAAGCTGGATTTGGAAAGGAACCTGCTGAGGCAAGTAAAATTTGAGGTCTGCTTATTAGGGAAGTCCTGCTCTTTCCTCTATGATGCTAGGTTGTTTCAGGGAATTGTGCATTATCTGTCTTGGTTCTTTTACATTTGTTTCTATCTATGTATTTCTTGTCACTGTCAGTAAAATTTGTTTTCCCTACCTTCCTTTCCCACCCAACACCAGTTTCTAAGCATTTTAAAGATTCTCTAGTGTGGTATTTTTTCCCTTGAGTAAAATTTTGTTCTTGACTGTGTTTAAGAAAATTTTCTAGGGAAATAGTTGAACAAGTAAGATGATAAACTAACAGGTGAGATAAACTGAAGGTTAATATGAGTATCATCTTGGGTCTTCCCAAATGCCTTGTATGTTCCTGCACCAAGCCAGAGCCTGTTCTCAGGCCTGACCCAGCCTTACTCGTGTCACCCTGGCAGCGCAGTGCCTTTCAGAAAGGCTGCTGTCAGCAGTATCTACACAGCAGCTGCAAACATCTTTCAGACTCATCCACAACTTGATAAACTTGTACTAGTAACCCCTCATGGAGTCATTCTTCAATCCTCATTCTATGAAATGTGTTGAGGGGTGCCACTCGCACTGCCTGCAATGGGAGTGCATGATACAGGTACAGATCCGAGAAAAATTACTTGCCCACAGCTGTTTTTCAGGATGTATTGCTAGACATATGCCTTTGCAGTCTTCCCTTTACTTGCTCTGCTGCAAGTCTGTTCCATGCTTGAGTCTAGAGGAAGCCCAGCATAATTTGTCTCCTCAAGATCCTGCTGCAGCAGCAAACATTCTGCCAGTGTTGCTTGACTAGAGGCAGTTCACAGAGTGAATGTACATTCAGCACACTAATCCTGAAGAGCTCCAGGTCAGAAACTTCAGGTTCCTGTTCAGTGGGACACGTATGAGGATGATGGATGTTTGAAGGACATCCAACATCAACAACTAAACTGTTTGAGGTAAGCAACATCTCTTTGAGGATCTCGAGAAAAATCAGACAATTTTCTGTTGATGGAACAAGCACAGCTGCTAGTAACAAAACTCTTTACTCTTCCTAAAAAAAACCAAAACAAACAAAAACAAAACCCCACCACCTTTCTTTGCATTTTAATAGCTGTAATAACCCAAATTAAATGCTAGCTTTAACCATGGAAGTTTTTCGTATCATTGCAGTGAAGTGTTTATGTAAAACCTCAAACACAACTACTGTGAATTCTAAAACACTGGGCAAGAATACTGCAAAAATGTACAGCATTTATTCACATACAGACAAAAAGGCACAAGTCTACTGAATATTCTAACAAAAAATAACAGCTGTCTTCAACTAGGTCTTTATAAATATTTCAAAAAAGGGAGAAAATAAATACAGATTGGGCCATGTAATATAAAATAGTCATCTCTACATATACTTTATATTTCTATCTGTTTCTCTTCATGCACCTTTCTTAATTTCAGCTGAATGGACACCAAAGCTAGGCACATAGTGAAAAATCCTCTGTACAAGATTTTACAAATGTAATGACAAACCTTCTCAAATCTCTGAAATTAAGATTTATACACAACACGGGTAACCCTTCATTTAGGTCTGTGTGAGTCTGCAGCCTAATAAATGGCATTCCAGGCAACTTTACAGAATTTCAACTAACCTACAGTTGGACAGAATACACCAATCATAGTCAAAGATCTGTTGGTCAGTCTGCACAATGGAAGGAAATACTTGTAAAAACAGAAATGCAGCAAATGGTTCTATCACAATAAAAGACGGGGCAGGTTTGTACTGTCACTGCTGTATTTCCAACACCTCCTCTGCTGACAGCGAAGGATGGGGGACAAACCTAACCTACAGAGCTGAGCATCCTGCAGTGCTACAGGGTTCTGGTTTTGGTTCAATTTAACTTTGAAAGTTACAAAGCTTATTAACCTAAACAGCAGGTAGCAGAACAGGTAAGGCATTAATTCTGCACAACCTTAGCGTTCATCATAGTGCAAATTAACAAGGTAACTCCTTCAATCTGGTGCGAGGTTAAATGTTTACTTAAGCATCAAAATTTAGATGTTTACTTAAGCATCAAAATTTAGACTCCTATGGCTTAACAAACTATTCCATATATGGTTACAAGCTTCGTTATTACAGAAAAGCACAGTGCCTGTTTGGAAAACCTTGCTGCATGTTGAGCAGAACCTACCTGCATTCAGCTGTTGTCTGTCAGGTGATGGTCTATCAAGTACTTTTAACACACCACAAGAATAACTCCATAACTTCAGATTCTTCAGTGCCCTGACTTTCACCTCTGGAAGTCCCGACATTCATCTAACTTCTTGGGACCAGCACTCTATTTTAAAAGTACACTATTTTATGCACAATCCCCCTCCCTCTGTAGGGTAAGACTTTGGAGTTGTAAAACTATTGACAGGGGTATGTTCAGTTGAAATACTTCATTAAGTGATAACTTGCATAGCAAGATAGGGTGCTAATAAGCCTTGTTTGTTTGATTGAATCCTCTGGAAGACTCATTTATGGTAGAGTTCTGCTGGGCTTTAAATGTCCCCTACTCAAGAGGCAAGGGTCTAACACTAAAAAGGGGATGTAAGAGCTGCCTAGGAGGTGGGGGTAGGAAAGGAGGGGTTTTTTTATGCCTGACTTTATGTAACACATTGCTGCTTCAGCTTTTTCACCAGTACATACCTGACTTACAGCTATGCAGAATTCCAAAACTTGGAGGCTCCTAACACTCTAGTTAGATGTGCACTCAGCCCAACAGTACCCTAATGATCTGTTGATATTATTGCTCCTAGCTTACCAGTTATTGCCATTTGCAATTACTAAAAAAGTATACAACCAGAATACGAGATCCCTCTTCCATCAAATCTAGTCCAGAATAGAATGAAATAGTTTTTCTTCATTTGACTGTAAAGAACTAATCACAATTTATTGCCTTTCCATTTTATTCTATTCAAAAATATATATTCATGTCCATTTTAAAGCAACCCTTTAGTATCCTAAGCCTGGCTTTCCCAGTACGTACCATTAGTGCATCTGCAGTGGACTTTGGGAAATCCTACCAACTAGTGCCTTTGAAATTTCTCTCTGGAGTTGTCACCATACTCACAGAGGAGGTGACTGACTAAATGGTGGTGGGTTATTTCAGGGGAGCTGTAACCCACAAGCTTCCCCCTGCTTCTGTTCTCAGAATTGAGCCATTCTGAGAGTGTCCTCGTGCTCAGTCTGCATCTTTCCCAGCTCCTGCAGTGTAATACAGCTGCAGCCCTGACCAGTCCCTTCCTCCTCCTCCAGCATAACAACATGGTTAAATCTGGTCACTTCACAGGTATATGTACATGTAAACTCTGGAGCTTTCAGATGGGTCTGAGCTGCCACCTCTGCTGAAACTGAATGCAACAGGAAACAACTGCAAAGAGAGGAGAAAGACTACCACCACCCAAGGTAAGTGACCATTTGTAATGAGATATTTAGCAGTGCAGTATGGTTAAACAACCATCTTCCATTCAGTACACATTAGTTATAAATTAAGAGCTTGTGCTTTTCCAGAAGGCAGGGGAAGGAAGTAAAATTTTATCAGTGCTTTTTAGCTAAAAGGGATGAATGCAGCCTACTGCCCCCTACCCACCCTAGCCTCTTTTAAAAGGTTTCTGTGACTTATTTTAGTGTTCATCACAAATCCCATCTTAGTAGTGACATCATTCCTCTGCTTACTCAGGATAGTCGCAAATAAAGAAGAGTCAAACTTCTCACAGAATGAGAGGGGAAAAAAACAGCTTTAAGTGCATGTAAACATGTTTATATAGCTCAGGAATAATAGGTCATTCATCAGCCTATAGCTAGGTCTAAGAATTCTTCTCTTTCAAATCAATAAATAATGTGGAGTTGGCTTGTAGGCAGTGACTCTGTGTCCCTGTGTCCAGTCAGGATGCCAGGATGCTTCTCCTGATAATGTCTGTCCTTCTGCTCATTGTGGTGTTTGGACTGAGCCTCTGCTGCCGGCACTTCTTTTCAGCCACTTCAGTCTCCGAGTCACTCATTTCGGCATCAGGGATATACCCGTCATTCTCACTGTCAGGCTTGAGTTTGCCTTTTGCCCTGTCCTTCGGGGAAACTCTGCCCAAGTAGGGGTAGCTGGAGTTCTGGCGGCAGGTCTCCTCTAGGCTCTCACCCTGCTGTTGCCTTTCCCCCTTCTTTGGAATTCGGAATCCGCCCCAGTTTTTCACTGGGCTCGTGGGTGTCGTAGGCACTTGAACTGCTGCTGTCTGATTAGAGTTTACTTTCACAAGACCCCCATTGCATTTAGGCACTATATCCCTCCGTGTGCCAGGTGCTGACCTACCACTGGAGTGGTTCACAGCCCTTTTACTTTCTGATTGCCTCTGAGAGAGTTCTGTAGGTCTCAGTGGTTTGTGGTTGTGTTTAGAAGTCTTTTCTTTTAGTTCTGCCTTGGTCACCTCGCACTGTGGACGATTGTCTCGGCTTTTTCTGTGGTCTGGTATGACTATGCCATTTTTCTGCTGTGCTGATGCAATCCGTGTTTCTGCAAAGGTCTTGTCAAAATGTAAAAAGCTCCCTGGAGCTGCACTGCTCTCTTTTTGGCTGGGCTGCCTCAGAATGGCTTTGCTGTCATTCCCCGAGCTCTCCCTTACTCTGTCCCTCTTGTGTGATTTTTTCAAGGAATGAGTTAGGGATGTGCCCATCTGTTTCCTGAAGAATGCAGAATGCCATTTCAGATCCTCTATCTTAGGGGCACTGGGGCCCAAAGATGGACTGTTGAACAGCACTGTGTTATCCATAGAGGAGAATGAGGAAGGCACACCTACGTGTAAACAAAGTAAGTTAAAGTCAAGGAATTCCACATCTGGGTAAATACCACTTTTGAATATAAGTATTTTAATGCTGTCATTCCCAGAACCTGGTGTGTTCTTTGACAATCAATGGGTATTTGGGACAGTTACGTGGCTATGTCTTGGCTTGACAACATACTGCTAGTGTAGTTTGCTTTCCTGAAGCTGTGCTGCATCCAGTTACACTTCTAGCAAGTATAAATCCTAGCACTACTGTAGCCACTAAGACAGACTCCAGGGCACGGAAGCAACCAGCAAGTGAATCTGATTGATTCTGCCTAAAATGTGATTCATTATTACTGAATACTTTAATGATAATCTAGTTAATGCAGTTAAGTTTGAGGATATTAATCTTTCTGAGAAAAGGCAATGAGAAAAAAACTGCATCTTGTTTTAAAACCAGGGTGCTACCTTTTCAAAATTCATTTCTTTTAACAGCCATCTGTGATGCAAAGAAGCACATGCTAAACACTAATGTAGTGGCATTAATAAAATACAGACTTAGGAGGTACCATATGGTACGCAAGTCATGTCTTCCTGCCACAGAGTCACTGAAGAATCACACCAGACAGAAACTGAAGCCATGAGCCACTCAGTGCCCCTTAGACAACAGCACAGACTTATCAGTTCCTATGGCAATGTGCCCACTATTAGAGCTCCACCCACCCACCCACATCTCTCCCAGTCTGCTGAAACATGGTGGACTACACAAGATCTTAATGAGAATAAATGATCACGGTCATGACTGTCCTTCAAAATTAGCTACTAGCCTGTAGACAAACCCTTCAATGCTTCTACCTGTGGTCTTAGGTGAAAAAGACAACACTGAAGCATACCTGAAACTCTTTCTTGTTCCAGCTGCTTTGCGTAGGTATTAAATATCTGTTCCTGAACTTTGCAAACAGATCTCTTGATTTTTTCCCTTCGGGTCACCATGTAGGTGAGATTACGCACCTGGAAGACATCAAGTTATGAGTTTCACAGGAATTGTGTTTCTATAATGTTGCCAATCTGCTCTTTGACTTAATTCAGTTCAAGCACTATAAACCCTTTAAACAAGTTAGTAATGTACCTGTATTTTAACCTTCTTGAACATATTTCTTACAGAAGAGTCTTAAATACCATTTAATTGAGAGATTATTCTCCTAGAGCTCATTAGCTCCTTCTCTCCCAGTGGAAGAAATTGCTGAGGGGTCCATGTGGGCGTTCCCAGGGCTCCTCGCTCAGCCTGGTTGCAGCCGCAGTATGGTGCCCTGTGCCTTACAGCCTTGTAGGCTGGTCTCGCAGTCACTGAGGAGGGGACACTGAATATGTGTGACCTTGCATGCTGAGGTCCTGCTCTGTTTAAAGGTTCCAGTCACATGCAAGACAGTATGTTTAACTAACTGTCGTTACTCTGTGGATCTTAATTAGCAGGGATTTGTCTGGCTGGTCCCCTTTCTGAGAGAGTCCCTGGCCTTTTGTTCTTCACCTTCTTTCACCCCAGCTGCACAACAAATACATCATGTCCATCAAAGTACCTCTTCTATAAACTGGATAACATGATTTCAGACTGTTTCTAGATAGATGACACTGTCACTAATGTCACTCATAAAGTTGGGTAACTTGATTATCTTGAAGAGGAAAAAAAAAAATTTAGACTTTTTTTTCTGTATGTCCAAGATAAAATCAATAGGGAACAATGGAGTAGTAAAATATTACTGGAATGATGTATCCTGTTTTGACATTGCACTTAAAAATGGGAAGTATACCTACAGAACCATTTAAGATCCAGAGAACACAGGGACAATCTCAACTTATTTAGCTGATCAAAGAGAACATGAGAAGAAACCTTGAGCATGCAGCAGAAACAAGAGATGCCATTTCACCAAACTAGAGAAAGGTCATGGGCCATTTCTAGTATAGGTCATTTCTAGTTGAAACTAGAGAAAAAACTTCCAAGTAAAATTGCAATGATTCCTTAGAAGAGTAGTTAAGCACTGGGATGCTTTATAAAGAATGCAGTAGATGCATGAACACCCACTGTCCTGATTTAAAGCCTAGGTATTACTCTGGAAGAAAGGCTCCAGTTCACCCACAGGTTACTGTGGCTGAGTTATGAGCCCCTGAGCCAGGTCCTGTACATGGCCTACATGAGCCACATACTGTATGGACATGAAAAGCTGGAATTATTTCAGTACTCTGTCTCTAAACTTAAACTGATCTTAAGTGTTCTCTGAACTTAAAGTGATTTGATCTTAAACTCTACTAGTTAACCCAAATAACCCCAAGAGGAAGGAATTCAGGTTACTACAAGATCAGATGTACTTAAAATACCAAATTGCTCTTTAAACATTCAAAACTGGAGTGCAGTATCACATGCCTCCCAAACCTACTACGCAGACAGTCCAGTGTCTGTATGTGTCAATGCTATGCTGTTGTCAGTGAAAACACAGATCTGCTGCAAATCAAAGTAAGGTTCATAATCTTTTCCTCCTTGTGCACCAGATGAAAGGAGCAGAGAAAGCCCTTAAAGGCTAGAAAAGCTCCAGGTACGTGGAAATACAACAATCCCGTGCTTATAAGGAGACTGGATACTACTACCAAGACCTGCTGGCCTCTGAACTAACCCTCTATTTGGAATGGTAACTGGTGCACTCCATAGAAATTTAGTGTTCATGGTCTTCTCTGGCAATACCACTTTGCATGAGGATGCAGCATGAAGTACCTGCATGCAAGAGCAGTAACTAAAAGCGTAATTTAGAAACCTGGCTAATGAAGGGCAATGCCAGTTAAGCATGTGCAGGCAGTGCTATGCCTTACCCGCTCTAGATCCTGCCGGAGATGTGTAAAGAGCTGCAGTCTTCTGAACAGAACATCCTGTTCTCGTTTGGCCAGATTGTCCTCTTCATCCTTCTTTGGAGTAATCAAAGGCTTGTTGAAGTTGGCTTTTCTCTTCAGCTTCCAGTACTTGTAAAGGAATTCCACTGACTCCTCTGGCAGCTGCAGTACTTTAGCCACTTCCACAGGCTCAACAAAGGTATAGAACTCATCCTCCAGCTGCTGGAGTTTCTGTTTGCGGAGGCTGACTCTGTGGGCCTCCTCCTGGTTTTGAGTCATGCTGTGGAAAGGGTCAATGTGGGCGGGAAGAGAGCTGTCCTGAATCCCATTCCCATTCTGCTGACCTGGGCTTTCACTGAAAGTCTCCTCATCCACTTTCTTGGTGGAACTGTGCTTGGGACAGTATGACTTAAACTTCACCTCATCATTCTCTGCCAGGATGGTCTTCATCTCCAAGCCACGGTCGAATGCACAGGTAACATGAAAGGCTGTTCTGCAGTTCTTCACCGAACACTGCACAAATTAAATTAAAATTAATCAAATACAAATTTAAGAAGCCACACTGCCTGAAACTGTTCTTGCAGACAGGAAGGCTTTGGAAGAACAACCCTGGACCCGTGCTCTGCCTTTAAGCTGCATGTAGCTCCCTGCTCTCGATTTTGTGCTTTCAGGCTAGGTAAGGAGGAAGTGGCCCGGTGGGACAGAAGTGGTTAACCCCTCCCTTGCCGTATTCAATAACCAGCAAATCCACAAGACGAGAGTTCTCACCGGCACAGGGCCACACGTGTAAGGCAGCATTCCACAAAGGCAATCATTCCACTTCGGCTGTGCCAGGAAGAAAGAGGGGCTCCAGGCCAGTTCTTCCTAGCACCGGGACCTGTGCTGCCCAAAAGGCCTCAACCAAGGGCAGTTTTCTTCCCATTTCCCAATTTTATAATGTCAAATATTAAATTGCTGTCAATCACTACTTCACTGACTGCAGCCTTCGCTTCATCAGGGACATGAGAAGAACAGGAAATTCCATTTTCTGCCCTTTTTCTTCTCTCCCTCTGAGCCCAGCCATCATGGTGTGATGGGCACTAGTTCAGCTGATTTAGCACTTCATTTATATGTAACTTTCTCTTGCAAACTGCTGTCACAGCTATCACCAGCCACAACTGAAAGGTTTAAATATATATGTGTATGTATATACCCACAGGCATACATATGCAGTTGTATCAACTTGCACCTCAGCCTCAAGTGAAGAGAATTTACAGTGGAAATGAAGATTGGTGCTATTAACTAGGAGGAAACAAAACTGTGCTTAACCCAAGCCATCTAACCTTAAAGAGAAATAAATGCACTGCACAAGGATGTTTATACAGTGCTTTGTAAAGAAGCCAAATATCTTTCTCTGCTGGATTTTCCTGCTCAGGTTCACTCAGCAGCCAGATGGCATATAAAGGTACAGCAGAATTTAAACCGCAGAAGTTTCAAATGAACATTCTTTAATAAAATCAACATATAAAAGGAATTAAAAAATACCAACCCATCTTTTGCCCTTTCCTGTTACCAACAAGCAGAGCAAAAGCAGCCCTGCTGGAACACCACATAGTCCAGGCGAGTAACCCAGCCATGGTTTCCAAGCTGCTCCCATTCAGAATAATTAGCTTAGTGTGGCTGATGTTCTACTGAGAGAACAGGGGAAGCCTGTCTCGTGAGAAGGAAACCTGCTGAATCTGGGAGAATACACAGTCTCAGTTTTCCCAGCTTGTTGCAACTGCTCCATGCCCAGCCTCACACACACTCCAGCTGCCAGCTTTTCTGTTTGCTGTGCCTATCTCCCAACATCTCTGAAAAATCCCATCTCCCCTAGTTTCTCCAGTTAATGCTACTTCCTCTCCATTGCAGTCACTCTGTATAATATTCTTCTCTGCTGTATAAAATTTCACAACACAAATCTACGTATTTCTCACTGCTAGCTTTAACGATACCAAAGATTTACACAATTGCTGTAAGATGTCAAGCACAACTGCCATTTTTTGTCTCTTTCCCCATTATTTCAAATGCAGAGCTGTCTGAAGTGGCAGCTGTCATGTCTGCGTGTCCTCCTGGGTCAGCACTAGAAAGGTAGAAGAAATATGGAAGGACACCTGCCTACGCACCACTACACACTGATGTATGTAAACACACTCAAGCATTCAACTTAAACTACTGTGAGTTACCCCACAGAATGGACAAAACAGCTTCCACGAATTAAGATCGGCCAAGAGGAAGGGGCAGCTCTGCAAGGAGGTATTACGATCGCAAATTTATATGCCGTGGACAGATTTATTTACTTAACATTTACTATTTTATACATTACTTAAATGAGAACGACTGATAGGTTTCACTGGAACTACTGCTGCAGTGCTGGTTTACAGCTTTTGCTGGTAAGCTCATGACATAGAGCAGAGGGGAATAAGGAAATGGATAAAACCTAATTTCAAAGAAGAGCAGGACTTTTGCATCTTAATGCTGGTCTGACCATCCTGGACCCTGCAACGTAAGGCCAGTCACAACACAACAGACAGAGCTGTACTTCTTCAGAGTGGGTCACCTGTCTTCATGCTCTCTCATCATTTCGTAGTAAGCTAGGTCAAAGTTTTGTCTTGTGTTTCAAGAAACCTAGTATCTCCTCTTTCAGAAACTTGGGGCTTGGCAATACGTTTTCGCAATCTATTCTGAAATTATTCTTAAAGTGTTCTTAAAACGATTATTTAACATTTCTGAGCGATCTTCCACCGCAGAGGATATGCAAGTGCTTTACACACAACAACTGAATATAAATATGCACATGCATGACACTGCCTGATCTGAAATACCCTGGTGCAGATCATTTAACAGCCAGAGTTCACAGGCTGAGGTGAGAAAGGCTGAACCCAAATGCAACTGAAATTAGAGAGAGAATTTCAGAAGTATGCAGTGAGACAAACCGGCACCAGCACAAGAATGGGAGCTGCTGGTGTGAAACCAACTGCTTTACACACAACTCCCATTGAAATACCCAACTTGTCTGAGAAGTCACTAAACAGGGACTAGCAGATAGATGACCTGGCTATTATTATTCAAATCTGACTAGACAATAAGAACATGCTAACATTGACAGCACTCTATACAGTTAAGTCCATAGTAGCAAACAGGAAATCAAAGACAGTTTATGGCAGATACAAGTTTTGTGTATCTACTAAAAACTGGCAAAACAACACACAGATATCTGTGCAATTAAATCACCTGTATAGAAGCTCCAACTTTTTCATTGCAAAGGCTGCACACCAGTGCCCATCTGCTGCTGGGAATGTGAGAAATCTTTGTAATGGGCTCCATTTTTTCCGGGCTTCCAATGCTCACCTTAAAGAAACCATTACACTGTTAACTGGAAAGCAATTTATCAAAGAAATCTAATTCCTTCTATGTATGTGCAAAATGAGCATGTTCCAAGTTCCTCAATTTGTAAGGAAATAAAAAAATTACAATTCCTTTTTTAAAAACATCAGTTCCTCACTGCATGAACAAAATAGTTTCAAGGTGAAGCCCACCATTCTGAAATTATCACGCAGGATGAAAACCCACAGGAGCTCTCACTGCCACATCCAAACATTCCTGATTCACCTTTAACGTTCCCTTCACAAAATAAAGCAGTACTTTGTGTCCTTGTTAAAGGAGATTTGCCAGCAACAATGGCCTCATTTTTTGAGGCCTAATTTTGGTTGACAACGGCAATGTAATTTCTTTATAGATGATGCATCATCCTGCCAGACTGTACACCTTCCTGAAAATCCTTTATACTGTCTGAGCACTATCATATGTATGTTAAGCTCACTGCAGCAACACAGAAGCTGAGCTACATTTTTATAACATATTGCTCCCGGAACCCCAGCAGCTCAGAACTCCCATAGGATCAGTACCTACCTCTGGAATCCATAGAGCACAGCTAACATGGACCCACTTGGTGCCACTTCGAGTTGGCTTCATGGCTCCACCTTTCTTAGGACACAGCAAACACTTGGGCTCAACGCCAAGTGCGCAGGTCCTGCACAACCAGCTGCCTTCTGGCACCTTCAGGATCCCATAGCATGCCTGTGGGAAAAGAAAACATGGGAATGATGTGAATTTCTGTTACTTTTTAGCTGCTTACATGTAGCCTCTCCCAGCTTTCGAACGGTTCTTTATGGGATTGCCGACACTACAGACACTTCATCTTGTGGAGGATCTCAGGATGCTTTCAAAAACTTAGCCAACCTCATTACCCATTCATTCCCCAGAAAGACCAGATGCCACGACCAGCTGTTAGGCAAAAAACACTGCCCACATCATCTGGGAAAAAGAAAAAAATGTGTCTGCCAGCCCAAACAGCAAGGGGACTCCCGACAGACAACCCTGCCAGAAGCCAGCTCCCACGAAGTTCAGTATCACCAAGAGTCACGTAACAGGGATTGGGCTATACCTAATTAAAAGGCTAGAATCACCAACTGAGAAGCTCAGCTGTGCAGTACTCAATGTTAACTCAGGCACATCAGGTTTTACTTTGTATTCAGAGGGAAAAATGCAAAACAGCATCAAATTAATATCATTTTTTTCAGATGCTGCACCTTTATGGAGACCTGTATCCACAATACTGTCAGTTTTAATCCTCTTAAGTTTCAGATTTGATGGGATCAGAGACTAAGGAAAGAGAACCACTACAGGTCTAAAAACGTCCACCTCACACTGTGTATCTCACAAAAAAGCCATCTGTACCTCACAGCTCTCGCATGCATACTTCTTTATCATTAGTACAACTGCATTTAAGTAACACATACACAAAAATGCCATTCTTGCTCACAAGACCACAGTTTTCAAAACAGTGGTAAAGCAAACTTCTTAGAGCTGGGAAGGAAGGACAGACTGATAGAAAAGCACCTGCTGCAATAAGAAGCATCCACAGAAACAGATATGCTAAAATTGAAGACTTTTTAAATGGCACAAAAAGGTGGCCCATAATAGCGCTTATTAGCTCAGGTCTGTAAGTTCTCCATTAAATTAAAATTACTATAATAAATCCTCCCTATGTCCCCACTGATCACCTGAAACCCTTTTTTCCCTCCCTGCTGAGCCTCAGTTACTGATACTGAAGAGTGCAGAGAGGATATGAATATAGGACAAGAAGTGACCAGGTGAGAATGTGTAACAAGACACATCTGTTATGAGGAGGCAACTCCTCACCTTGTAAGTGCTCCACACATAAACAATACTACTTTTAACCTTCTTAGCATGATACTTCTAGAATCACATGTAACAATTCTAGTCAAATACATAATTTCTGAATTCACCCCACCGCTTGATGATGAACTCTGCAACTGAACAGCTCAATGTCACTGGAAAAAATCCAATCTCTTATCTTTACTGGTTTGGAAAAGATTCTGTCATCATCCCTACACACCCCACAGTGCCCTGGCCACCATACCTGGTGCACACAAATATTGCATTTGTCACAAAACACCATTTCATTGCCATCTTCTCCATCTGGGGACTGACAGACGTCACAGACAACATCTTCATCATATTCAATCCCAAGTCCTTCTTCCGTCTCAATAGCATGATTCATGTTATCATAGCATCGTAGTTCAAACTCCTCTAGGATCCTCTCCATTGTGTACTCATCCAGCTCAGGCATCCCTGGGGAGCAGGAGAAAGAGTGGTAACACACAGCTCCAGCTTCTTTTTTAACAGCTGAGTAGATACAGCCAAACCCCAAGCAGGCACATTTCATTCCTTGACAACCTCAGCCTATTCCAGCATAAACTAGAGAAACTGGAAAATAAAGTCAAAGTTGTCTTATAACTGTATTAACCTAACAGAAGTGCAGTATCTAAACCAATCTTTCAAAATCCTGGGGAAAACTTCCATAAACTGATTTTGGCTTCCTGGTATTGCTCTCATTTTTCCTTCTGGTACAGCCCTGTCTATGGCTTTGGCTTCAATTTTGCAACCCAGATGTTGACTCTCTGGTGAAGGATTTAAGAGTGTTTTGAACCAAAAGTGATGAGGGCAGAGGGAGGAAATCGTTGACAAAATCTGATGCAATACTTATGGCAAACTTACAGTTTCTAACAACAGCTATTGGTTTTTCCATAACTTCCAACTCAAGAGGGTGGAACCTCAACTGACAATAAATTGGTTTAACAAGTGAAAACACACCTGTAATAAATGCAACATCGAATCTGGGACAATAAATACATTCACCATCTAATCTGGGACTTGGTCTTTTCAAATGACATCCATCAGAAAATTATTCATGACCCCACAGCTGCAAGCTGACTGTATTCGATAATCTATCTTTGTTTGTATTTTATTATTCTATAATCTATCTTTGTTAATCATATTACCATTACAGACCTCGAAAATATCTATCATAGACGCAGCAGGAAAGATATCAAAAAAGAGCATAGTGCTTCCCCCTCTGGCTTCCATGTCTCACTTGCCATGACAATGAGCTGGCCGTAATACTTCCAGGTTGGTGCTGCACTGACCTTCCCCACACAATCATAAGGCACAAGCCCCGGTGAAACCAGGACAGCTGTGCTACTGCCAACAGTCATCTTCCTTTTGCCAAGTCAGTTTAGCACAAGAATTTCCATATAGTTAAATCACTACAAAGAAGCATAGGTTTAGGATATCCCACTTTTGGTCTAATACCTAATGTTTCCTGTGACATACAGAAGATGGCAACCTTACGATGTGTGTCTTAACAAGCAAATCCTCCTTTCAGCTTTCCCTGTGAATAACTGAGCCATAAATTCCACAAAATGAAGAATTAAAAACCTCTCTAGCTCCTGCAGGTCAGACAAACACTCTATGGAAGTACTTCCAGCTTCCCCTACTAGCAGGTAAATCCGTACAGCAGGGATCAATGCCTCCAACACTGCCCACAAGGAGCAGATGGAAGGCAGCAAGAGGAAACAAGCAGAATGGCCACTTCAGGGCTCCACACATCTCCCTACTCACACCCCTGCGGCAGCCCTCCTCTGGTTCTAGCAAGACAGATGGACAGAGGGGATTATCTATACTGATGGGGATCAACTGAAAATCATAAAAAGTATTTTTATTTTATTCTCAAGAAAGCTAAGGGGACTTGCTGGTGCTATTTTCCTGAAGATCACTTGGAAAAGTAACAAACTCTTCAATTATGAACTGGTTTGACTTGTTTAAGCCCAACACTAAACCTGAGCAGGCCTGACCTGGAAAAAAGGTCTGGGTAAAAGACCAGGTCATGGCTAGGTCATATGTGGGTTTAATTCAAGAGTTCTAAACAGTCAATCTGTGGTTTACCAGGTCTCGTGCCATGCCACATGTGGGCTGCAGCCAGGTAAAGCCCGTATGAGCATTCTGTAACCCAGAGTAGGGGACTGCCACAATGCTGACACATAACCCAGCTTCACCAACATTCCTGTTCTTGCCCTGCTTCTTTGTCCCTTCCAATGCACAAGTTATCCTGCAGAAAAAGGAAGAGCTGCTCCTCCTGCAACACCTCTTCTTCCTGCTTCCTAACTGGAGCCCACAGGCACAGTAAGGTTTAGGAGGTTCCTCCAATAAATCACTACAGGAGTTCCGTAATGTCTCATTCTCTGTGCAGCTGGGATGGCATTAGGCTCTCCAGACCTCCCAAGACTCCTTGTCTACCTTCTTTGCGCTCCACATGGCTAGCTAAAAAGATGATATGGGTATGTGACACAGAGAAAAGTAAGTAAGTAAATGGAAAGGACTAACTGGGAAACAACGGTCTGTCTAACGTCCTCTTCAAGAAGCCTGATGGCAAAATGGGAACTCTGGGAAAACTGCCTTGTGAAACAGCAGAGAAAAAAAAAATCCAACCATACAGTTAGATTCTGATCTGGTCTAAACAAATACTACTCAGCAGTTACAAAAGCTTGTATCTTATGGCTTAATCACATCAGGCGTGGCTTCCCATGGCTACCCCATCTCTTCCTACTGCTGCCCTCCCTCAAATTGTTCTTAAACCTTTAAAAATAAAGGACACACAAATACCATCACTCATTGCTCACCCATTTCTCTGAATTCTTCATTGGCAAGCTGCAACCACGCTACGTCCACGTCATTGAGATCGTAGCGACACATGCTGTCTGCTAAGGTTCGAATGTCAACATAGCCCAGCTCCGGAGGCTCTGACCCTGACGAAACAATGTACTTCCTGGGTCGTATAAAGGTGATGCCTTTCGTCTCAGACACAACCCTAAAACAGACAGGGAAGAGGATGTCAGGTATGCTGGGATGCTGAAAGACTTGTTTCTAGAGAACTCAAACTGCCTCGCTTTCAAGTGACTAACCATCATCAGCACACATCTGATCACCTAAGCAATTATCGTGCTCACTAAGGGAGAACAGTATAGTACACTTCCATAATGGACTGGTGATGTTATGTTAATTGGAGTTGTCTAGAAACCAAATTTGTTACCAAAAATCTAAATAAAATTGAAAGATTAGAGGATAGGGTTGTGCTTACTCTTACCTGAAATGCACACTTGTTTAAAGCTAAAGTGGGAACACTGTATTCATGTAGTGATTGCTATACACATAGATGTAAACTCTGATTTCCAGCCTTTTTTAAAATCAATCTATTGAACTACATTACCTGTTTGGAAATCTACAATACCAAGATCATGAAAATTCAAGGACAAAAAGTAGTATTTCCTGCTACATTTGAAGGGGTTGTGTGTGTGTGTGTGTGTGTGTGTGTGTGTGTGTGTGTACACATGTGTAGCTAAGGAATTGCCATCCCTGTGAAATTCAGAAGACTTTTCCACAGAGAATCAGTAACCTGCACTAGCTTCACCTCCACTTACCCAAGTATCCTCGGTCTGCATTTCCCTCTTCCACATTCACTAATGCCATGCTGGGTCAAGTGCAAATATTAATCAGCCACTGATGAAACTACTTTCTCTCAGGCTGTGCAAGCTCCAGCTGGCCAACAACCAATCATGAAAGTATATTTTAGCTGCAAGCCAATGGAATTTTTGTTTGACAAAACACAGGCACTGGTTCAGGAAACAGTAAAGTACCTACAACACATCACTTGTTCTAAGTCAGATTCCTGCAATGCCACAACCTTGTAAAGCCAGCAACTGGGGGCAAAACCACCCAGTTCACAAAGGACAGCAGTTGTTCTACCAGCAGGCTTGCCTCCAAACAGTAAGGTAACTCCATCCTGCAGCACAGTTCCCTCATTAGAGGACACTGCACTTTCTCTTAGTTAACTGCACACAATGAAATTCGGTTTGGATCAAATCCACTTCACCACATAAGGCCAGTACCTCCAGGAGCGACAGACCATGCGCCAAGTGACTGCCCCTGCAGCACCAGCGCAGATCATCTTTGTTGCGCTAATGCTAGCAGCAAGGAGATAACACCACTCCATCTACACACAACTTTCTGCTGGGAATGGCCCAAGCTCCACAACAAGCAGGACATCCTCCAACCTGTTCTGCCCCCATTTGAGGTCCAACATGTTAACGCCCCCTCCTACTACCAGCAGACCTTGATCTGCCACTACTTCATCTGCACACACAGTAAATCCTCTACCTTAGTCTTCTGCACAGCCCTAAATCTTCCCCTCATCTAGCTTATTTCAGATAACAAACTGACATACGGTGGCAACTGTGGGCAGGTGCCAAATGCTGAATTTGGGGCTTCTGAGGTGCAGAAAGGAACTGTGGAAGAATACAGATATGAATGACCTTGCCAGCCTAACTGTACTGCCCAAACCGTTCCTGGTCATGCTGCACAGTATTAAAATATTAGGGACTATTACAGCTCACAGCAAATTTATCTGGAACTGGGCACTGCTCTCTGTATCTTGTGCACTGGAAATTCCTTCCTGAGTACCATCCCATCCAGAAACCATAAACTCTGGGCTGCACCTTTCACATGCTGTCTAAATACCACTCTAGTGGCACAGGCAGTTTGGCTTCAAAACAAAGTACTTCCACCTCTTTATTTCTTATCAAGAGAAGTAAAAAATGCAACACTTGCCACATACCGACAAACCTATCCAACTACATTATCCTCCTGACCATGCTTATATGCAATCACCACATGGACTTGCTCCTTTCACCACCCCTCTGAACCTACACCTGCTGCTCTGACCAGCCAAAACCTTTAGTTCACCATTACATACGTTGCTGGCATCAGCTGTCTGTACTGTATTTTGCCTCTGTTCTACATCAGCTACTGTTTGAGTATTGCTGGTTCAATCCACAGAACATGTGCCTCCCCTCCCACAGTCAGGCACAGAACAGCTCCAGCTCTACAGCACAACCACCTCAGAGCTCTCTTGAGTATTTTGTGAGGGAGCAAGCAAGACAACAATCAGGTATCACAGGGCCACTCTGAGCAGCAGGTGCTCTCCAGCAGCACCATACAAGATTGCTCAGCAGCTAAGAAACAGTGATGCCTCCTGTACTGATACCTACAACTGTGGGTGGTGCCTTTCCCCATTTCCTTTAGTATCTCAAATTTGGAGCAACATCTCTGTTGGCCACTGGCAGAGAAGAACTCTCCTAAGTGAGTACCTGGATATGATACAGCTACCAAACCACCTCCCTGAAAGATACAGGGTGGGGATCCCCTGGACAGTCTCCCTCTGCTAAAGTCCACAGGTCTCCCAGCCATCCGGCAACCTTGGGAGATGCCTGAAGGAGAAACTGGTGAGAAGACAACAATCTGAGCACACACATCCAGTGTGTGTGCATTTATGTAGGGACTGGCTGAGGTCAGTGTAGAGCAGACTACAAGCACTGCAGGAAAACAGTATGCTCCCATGTTCCAAACTGCACAGCACAAGGAAAAAATCTCAAGTTCTCCTTGGACCTCCACCTCCAATACTTTGGAAGAAGAAGGAAGGAGAGGGTCTACCTGATGTGTTGGTGAAGTTCCTCACTATACAGACCTAGTGGGGCTGTGCAGCGGTCTGCAGGCTGCTGCACAGAACACAAAAGTGCTAAACAGTCCCCCTGCAGTCCCCCTGCTCCAAGGTTAAAGACAGCAGAAGCAGTGTAGCATTATCCATTATTTTTTGCTTTGTATCAGAGATCGGGCTGTTCTGGCTCCATCAGCACTGGTGAGTCATTTGGTAACATCCTACAGGCCAGCCTGGACTTTAATCAAAGTGATCTAGTAGAATTAAATAGCAATAATCCTTGTTCTTCCCACTTTCTCCAGCTCCAATCCCAACTAAGCATGAAATAGACAGCTGGACTGCAGCACACTCCTGCCCTTACAACTGTTTAATTTGAAACAGAAAACAGTATCCAAGTATAACAAACAAGGTAAGGAAAATAAGGGTTTCTTGGATAAGAGCTAGAAAATCTCACATTAATGTATTTAGTTACATGCACATCTGGATGGTTCTTAAAACAGCTGAAATGTTGCACAGCAAACCATTTCCTAAGGTAGTAAATGAAACAACCAAAAAAATAACACAAAACCAGACAGAATAAATGCTGTGTTTTCTCTAGCCCCTAAGTCTCGCTAACTGTTCCTTGAAAGGAACCTATGGCTTGGAACTAAACACAAGAAGCATTAGAAAAGGGCTCTCCTGGCAATGCTGAGTGAGGTCAAGTCTGGACTTGAAATAGAAGCTATTTGTAAGGTTCTGTCATCACACTCCATCCTAATGTAATGCCAAAAATTACTCTCTAACATTCACATTTTAACACACAGGCAGAGCAAGCCTGACTCTTGACCTCTCTGATCATTCAAAAAGCTGAGGCAGGTTCTCTTCATCTCCGAGAACCAAGACCTTTCTAGCACTGTGGAATACAGCTCAAGAAGCCAAGGCAATGTAGATACAGCTGCTAGTATAAATGTATGTGTATTTATTTACATTCCTTCAAACTATACCTGGCTACTGGCTCTGGGATGGTCCCTGGGCTAACTGGCACCTGAACTCCCTTTTCCCACTCCTGCCTCCAGGGGTCTGCCAGCACATAGTATTCATCAGGGTTCAGCTGGAAGGAGTCATGTAACTTCATGGCAGTGATCAGGTCCGTTCTGAACACCTGCAAAGAGAGTGACCAAGAGAGAAAAATAGAGACACCGACATTTGATATTTACACTCTATGATTCACAGCTGCACGGAGCACAGTGTGCAAAAGGGTCACTGTATCACCAGTGAACTAACCCAGCCTGCTGCAGAACAGAAGTTTAGCTTCATTGCAGGGAAAGGTGTGGCCGAAGGTGCAAAATACTGATAGAATGACTTCCAGCTAACTCCATTACAAGTCCTGGCACCCCCCGTACACTGGAGGCATAACGCTAAAAGCTGACATCCACTTTCACCTCTGCCCTTCTGGAGTAAAAGCTGCAGGAGCTTTGAGTCTTAAAACAGCAGCACAAGAAAAACTCATTTTGGCTCCAACATTTGGGGTTTTTTTCTTAATTATTGGAGTTCTGACTAATCCAAAGCAATTCTAAAAATTCTCTGTGGTATAAATCAAGGTGTGACTCTATCATGACTATCCACAAGAGGAAATTCTACGGAGATGACTCTTTGTGCAAGTATTTAAAATAATAACCAAAAAGATCCAATAAAATAAGACCCAAACTGGAAGTGTGGGGGCAAATCCATTATTCAGCACAGGTGCTGTTGTTCCATCAGTTGCAGAGACCTCTGCATCACAGCTGTGAGTTTACTTTGTCTTTGCAAAGGTATCCACTTCTAAAATGAGCAAGATGTTTGGAAGCCTTTGGGTTAGCAGCCATAAACAAGCAGTGATACTGTTTCCAACAAGCCACAGAATGACATTAAAAGGGATTCATTCTTGTAGCAGGCATGCTGTGGTACTGCTGTAGCAGCTTCAACCTGGTCAGCCACTGCGTGTCAGCACTGCAGAACACAAAGTGTGCTATCACAGGCAGCAGAAGCACAAGCCTGCACTTGTTTATGCATCTTCCAGCTCTCCCCTTCCAGCTCTCACTGCAAGGCAAGGCTGCTGTGGAGAACAACTGCTCTCACCACTCCTCACCTCGACAACCACTCATTTTTAACTGCTCAATGCCATATTTAAAGGAAATAAAACCAACCAGCTGACAGAAACTAAGCAACACCAGGCCAAGAATAGGACAGGTAACATCTTAAGAAAAGCTCCCCTGCAGACTCCACCGTTCTGTATCCACTCAGCCCCATGCTGCACAGTTACAAAGGAGGAGACAGATGACCTGGGCAGTGCTTCTAAATTCTCTTACTGTGCTGCTACTGGGGCAAAGGGACCTAACCTCCCAGTCGGAGAGCAATGGTTCTACCTTAGCTCCAGCCAGCAGCTGCCTAGGGCTGAGGAGGAGCCCAGTCTATGCAGAGCACTGATGAGGCAGCCTCCCAGGACAGCCATTTCTGTCATACAGTAGTCACACACCTGAAACCTCAGTAGATTCCCTATGATTTCTGGGAAGCACTTCAGGGAAACAGTGAAACTGATGGTTAATTACACTTCTGAGAATATTTCAAAGTGTGATTTGCCTCACCACATTGCACATTTTGGCACCTCTCCTCCCTCCCATTACACACATACTACCCCACTTCTCTGTCTGTTTCTGTTTCCACTTTGGCTTTGTCAAAAAATAGCACAAAATCATGACATTTTTCTTAACATTTGTCTTGACATGTTCAGAAAAACTGCCAATAATAAAGAATAATATTACCATATGAAGGAAAGGGAGAATGCAGGTAATGAAATATAATGAAATGTTTCAAACAATCCAATTACGAGCCCTGTGAGGCTCCACTCAAGAAATAAAAAACAAGCCACAAAGTAAACCAGCTCACAGAACAAACACAGTGGGTCAGGGGATTCTGCACTTCTAAGTGGTTTGATTTAAAGCAATCAGACATCAAATGAAAAGAAGCCTAAAAACGTAAAATGGGTCACAAACCTTGCTGCATCCAAGAGCCAAACAAAACTCAGGCTCTCGGATAAATTTGTCACTAAACTCCCTCAGAAGCCAAGCTAATGCAGCACCTGGCAGCCAAGAAACTTCTTCCCAGGCCAGTGGCCCCGTGACACCATTCTTTCTGCTCTAATTTCTGATGCAATCAGACTGCCCAGAGCAAAGCAGAGCCTACAGAAATGCTGGCTCTCAGAAGCACTGAACACTTCAAAGATGAAGGGTGAAACTCTGGCCACGCTGAAGTCAATGGAATTTTGCCACCGACTTCAATGAGAGCAGGATTTCACCCGGGGAGTTCAGCAAGTGTCACTTTCCTGCCAGCACACTTCTCATCAGAATAGTGTGCTGTGGTGAGCAGAGACAATGCAAATGGAGGGAGGCAGCGGGGGCAGGGAAACAGAGCTAAAGGGATGTGTATGAGAAGTCCATCCAGGCTCAGAAGACAAGAAAGAACAGCACAAAACTGCAAAGATTCTGACAACAAATGCAGCAACAGGGAGAAAGCAGAAGCTCACAAAAAAAACAGCAGCAAGATTTGTAATTATCTCAAATTACTTCCAGATGGCCTTTCCAGAGGTAGTTCTCAAACCTGCGTGTAAGGGGCTACTTCTAAGGGAAGTACAAGAGATAACTAAGGGAAGAAAGCAAGCCCATCACCAGGGGGTCACCACATTTACCAAGAAGAAAGGAAAAATTTAAATAACAGGTCTTTAACAGCCAACAACCAAGAAAGAAGACTGGAAACCACCAGTACTTGGTGTGGCTCACACTGAGCAATGAGAGGGATTCTTCATGTGAAAACTCTTCTCCGTGACTTGGGCATACTGTCATTGAGGAGATTAATAAAGCAAGTTTTCACTCAACATCAATCACTTACTAATGCACCAGAAATACATGTATTGAGCAAGTACGTTAAATGAAGAAATTCCATCTCCCAACATTAATACTTTCCTTTCAGCCTCTACAAAGTCTGCCACGCAGTATTTGCCTGAAGATATGGAGATTCACCAAGAATACTTCCAAAGAACTGGATCGCATTTATGTGTTACTAACAGCTGATCCATCCTGGAAAGTTCAAAGATTTGCATCTCCCTTAACAGGATTTCCTCAAAGCACTACACAAGTCAGAACTGTCAGGAAGCAGACTTCTAGTTTGACAAGCAGTTTAACAAAGATCACATACCAAGACCCAATACCAACTATGCGATAAATGCACCTGATGTTGACTTTCACTGTTCACATATCAAGCTACAAATAAACCCCGATGCCTAAAAGACTAGAAAAGAAAGACTACACAGCCATGCTGAACGGGTGTCAGACTGTAACAAAATTCACAGATAGAGACTGGTGCTGGCAGTGGCTGTGCCAACAGCTGAACTCCCTCATCTCCTGGCCAAAAAAATAAGTTGGGGATGTGGGGAAAGTGCCAGCTAAAACGTAGCAGGAAGAAAAGAAAATGTAAAACAGAAGCAATGGATCCATTACCAGAACATGTATATGGCTCTGTACTTGATAGATGTAACAAAATGCAAATCACATTCCAGAAATACCTCAGAAGGTTTCCGATCTTCATGTCTGGAACACGACGTCCTCCGACGTCGAGATCTGGAATGCTGAGACCAGGTGGACAGACCTAGGATACAGAAATGATCATTTGCAGAAACTGCTGCCATCTGTCAATAAAAGCCTTTGCTCTCTCCCCACACCTAAGGCAGCCAATTGACTTCAGTGCAACTGTATGAGTAAGGTAAGCTAGAGGCAGGCTCCTAAGACACACCTCCAAAGACTCTTTCAAAATGAACCAGAAAATAAAAGTTACTCAGTTGTAAACTTCAGTGATTGCTCTTCTGGTTTGGTTTTGTTTGTCATTTCCTACTTACAGAGGCATCGGCTGCATGGCACTTACCAGCCTTCCCCCCAGCATTGACAGAAAGCTATCTCGTACCCTGAGCATCAGTAAACCACTTTCTACAGATTAATCACTGACCAGAAGGTATGCTGGCAGCCAGAAATGTACTCTTTCAAGCTAACGTATTAATGTCCTAAATACCTCTTTTGGTCAGCCAAAGAGCAAGCCTCTTCAAAATGAAGCCCACTGCCATGCGCACACAAACAGAGTCCACAGAAGTAAGCGGCTCTCTCTTCTGAGCAAATCTCTTAGTGTGGCTGTATAATTTTCATCTGCATAATTACTCATTCCATTCCAAACAAATTATACCTCTTTGCCTTGAAACCTTTTGGCAGAGCCTCTGTCAGCTTTCAGAAATATTGTTAACAGGAGAAAAGCAAAAAGAGAAAGCACCTACACACTGCTGTCAAGGCAGTGCTTTGACACCAGAGTATATTATACCTGTGCCGATCAACTGATTTTAATTCAGGAAGATTTACAGGTACAGCAGGCATTTTCTACTCCCAACTACACAGCAGCAATGGGGGGGGGGGGGGGAAGCCAATAAATCCTCATGGAATAGAGAGATGAAGGACTTGAAATAACATCTATATGATAGGGAGGCTAGGAGCT